AGGTGATCACATTACCATGTATGCACCAGACTCCAGGAAAGCTGAATGGCTGTTAAAAACTACACTGAGCGTAATAGGTGCTGGGGCATTGGGCTGGTATAAAAGTAAAGCAGTGGGAGAAATTAAGACCACCCAATTGCTTAAGAGAGATTTCAGGTCAGAGTTGCAATTTAATAGAAAGATTACAATAGTGCAATAATACACAATAAAACTGGCTTAGACCCATAAAGTCAGACTACAACCTGGCATCCTGTTGGCCAAGGTGGTGCTTGCAGTCCTATCAAGTGGGAATTGCAGTCCTGCTGAAGGCATGGTTGCAGTCAAAAGTGGTGGTCCTCCTCTGGATCTATCCAGGGGTGGTGGGGGTCCCAATTCCCTAAACACCAAAATTATACATAGTCAGGTTCAGGTGAGAATGCTCAGTAGCTCCCCCAGAGCAGGCAGTTTCACAGTGGAATGATGTAATACTTTGAGTCATTGCAGCTGCCTGTTCTGCTAGTGCCATTGAGTCCATTATGGCTTATTGGCAGAGATGACCCCTTCAGGATCAGTGGGGCTCTGCTGGTGTTTCCCCAGGAGTTAGCACTGCAGAGTCATTTGTTAAGAAAAATAAATACTCCCCTCCTCACAGGGTTTGGCTCTTCCCCTCCTCACAGGGTTTGGCTCTTCCCCTTAACACCCAGCTTGTAGCTTGAGGCGTCAGCTGGGCATCTACTGGGCATCTACTGCAAACGACCCATCATTAACAGTTTCTCAGAAATCATGTAGAGGGCAGTAGAATACTCAGTTTGGTAACACCCACATAGTGCTGAACTGGAATTCTTTTCCAGTAACCAGGACATACATTCAAGCATGGTGAAATACATTTAGCAGAAGCCACCTGGCTAGTTAACATTACAGCATCTGCCACTCGACCTGGCCCTGCTAAATCAAGGTCTCTGTGCACTGTGGAAGAATAAAAGATCCAAACAGTACATAAGAGAAACTGACTAAAAGAAACAGCTATTCCTTCTTCAGGAAAGGGTAAACATATTCATGGGATGGTTTTTGCTTAGGGACCTGGTTGGACTTGGTAAACACAGTAAGATGGGCAAGTGCAATGTGCACCTCAGGGTGATTTAATCCTGAGTGAAAATAATTCACTATTTGAGTTTTAAGATGGCAGTGTTTGTCACCATGACATATTTTATAAAAATCCTTTTGATAGGATTTTCTCCTGACAAGCTGAGGAGCCTCAGAAATAAAATGTAAACAATAACTATCTGCTGCTGTGGAATGCAGCAGGTGCATCTGTGATTGGTCCATGTTGGTTGTTTCTCATTAATGGCCAATCACAGCCAGCTGGCTCAGACTCTCTGAGAGTCATGAGCTTTTGTTATCATTCCTTTGCTTTTCCTTTCTAGCCTTCTGAAGGATCCTTTCTATTCTTTTAGTATAGTTTTAGTATATCATTTTAATATAAAATCATAATAAATCAGCCTTCTGAAACATGGAGTAAAGATTCTCATCTCTTCCCTCATCCTGGGACCCTCAAACACAACCACAAGTGTTACTCAACACTGTATATCACCACTGCTATGGCTGCAACCTATTGAAGGTATTCTAGCAGAAACCTCTTGCTGCTAGCAAACCTAGAGACAAGAGCAAGAATTCATTGTTTGGTTAAAATTTACAGTCTAGTCCAAAGGGACCAGAGTTGGAGAATGTAATGGATGTACTTTTAAGTTGTTGTAAAACTTGATTTGAGCTGGGTGTTACAGAAAGCCCTACAGCAGAAACTATTCAAAGGATGATGAAGGAATTAATACAATGAAGGATGAGCATCATAAGAAGGAGTTGACAAGAAAAGATGTGTGCTAATGTCTTTACAGACAATTTGATGGCTGAGGACATGGTTGTTAATGTCTTTGAAATGAGTCTCAATGTCTCTACCAACCTCAAGCAGTGGGTTTGTTACATAACCCAGACAGACTGACTCTAGAATTTTAGGGTAATAGACAAATGAGTCTGGACCAAGTGTACTGCAGAACCCAGAAAACTTGAAATTCTGAATTTTGGAGGGAAATGACAGGTTCGAGGGGAGAAATATGTGGTAAGTGGTTCAGGAAACCTGTGCTTTCATAGTTCCTCAGCCAACGGGGATAGGAAGAGGGCGGCATGCAACTAGGAATTTAGGATAAAAGGAGGCTTCATCCTTTAAAACCTCTAGAGAGAAACCTGATGGGGGCATGCCACAGTGGACCCTTTCCCTTCATAAAATAATGTTGCAGGACTCCTCTCTCTCCTTTGTGGACACTGGCTTTCTGTAGTGTGATTTTCCACACACAGTGCGAGTGTAGCAGTGACCTGAACAGAGCTGCCTTCAATGCCAAATGACTCCATGCAACACACTACTTCTCCCATCCTGAGTGACCACCATAACAGAGAAAGTCAAACAACAAATAAACACACTGAACATTTTGCAGATAATTATGGACATTTCACGAACATCTTAAGAGGAATCAGGTATTTGATAAGGTGAGATCTTAACATGATATAAATGACGTGGAATAACTAGTGGAGAATGTTCTAGTTTGGGCTGGGGTAGAGCTAGATTTCTTCATGGTAGCTGGAATGGAGACAATTTTTGGATGCGTGCTGGAAAAAGTTTTGGTAATACAGAGATCTTTTAGTTACTGCTGAGTAACACTTAGCATCAATACCTTTTCTGCTCCTTATACTACCCCACCAGCAAGTAGTCTGGAGATGCACAAGGAAAAGGACACCATATTTGGCCAAGTTCTTTTTGAGTGTAAATGGCCATACCCACTGTCTTCCAGAAAATATCACCACAAAATATCTAGCAGACAGGTTTCCTGATTTATCTTCAAGTGACACAATCTATCACTGATGAAGACAAAGAGCAATATTGTCAGTGTTTTTAGTAGCTTTTCAGGATGGAGAGTGTTCCAACAGTAAAATGCTGAGGTGACAAAGCATGTATGGGGCGAGGCTCCAAGAGCTATCTGAGTTACAGTCAAAACAGGAGTCTACCTCTGCTTCCTACCACTTCTGTGCTTGTGCAATTCCATCCCCATTAGCATAAGTATGGCAAAAGTATAATCACAAACTGGCCCAGTTTGTCTCACAATGCCACATAAAAATGCAATCCTTTATTCCTTGGTGAACAAGCTTTCATAAAGGAAAACAGTATCTTTTCTACAACAGCAAAATAAAACAAAACCTATTTAAAGGATATATAAAATTCTTGCTTTCTCAAACTGTAGAGCAAAATGTCTGCAGCAGATTCAAGATCAGTACTCAAAAAATTCCACAGACTACATGTCTTAAAAAAAAAAAAAAAGACAAACTTGTGATGCCAAATTCTGTGTTTGTTCTTCAAGCTCAGTCTTATAATTTATATGCATCTGGCTGATCCTACTTGATTTAGTGAGTTGTACTCTTGTACTATTTATCAATTTCTCTCTCTTATTTTACTACTGATAAATTTAGAAAGAGCTGCTAGTTATCTTTCTCATTTCAGTATATTTGTATTCTGTATGCTAAGTTTACTTTTTCCTCACAGAAACTGACTAATTAAATCTTCATGCTACCTATTTAGGAAAAAAATCTCAGTGGATCAAAATTTAGGCTTTCCAAGCAAGCTGCATGTGTGTTTAGGACATATGACATTTTTAGCCCATTTCCTCTTATTTTTGTCTGACCATAGAAAATGCTAGTATTTGAGTATACAATAATCCATCCAATTTAAATTTAAATGAGAATCATTAACTTCTATAAAAACCATAGGAATTTTAGTTTCATCAAAATGACAAACTCTGGACAGCCTTGCATGGCTGCATTATTGAGAAGTTTTCATCAGACCAAAGATTGTTTGACCCACCTCAGCCACTATGAATGAAACATACTGAGCCTGCAGCCACTCAACAATTTTAAGGAAGAAGGAGCAAGACAGGGTTCAGAAACATCTTCATGTTTGGTATCCCAGCCACACCTGCTTTACAGCAATTGTTTTGGTAAGATACGCTATCCTTCCACGCCAGGCCCTTTCCAGAAAGCATCTTACCAGGAAAGGGTAATAGAAGGGAAGTCAAAAGTATATTTTGACTGTTAATGCAAAGCACTAGGCTGCAAGTTCCTATCTTGGAAAGGTACCATAAATTATTCTGGGAAGTTTCTACTGTTTACCTATCTTCAAAACCTATATACTTGTACACATTTTGCTAAGGAAATTTGAACTGCAATGGGAAGGTGAATTCTCATGAGGACGACCTCATAAGGCTTATTCATATTAATAAATATGAATGCAAAAGCATGGTACAAAGAGACCCTTTTCAATAAGTCAGTAAATTACATACTTGTTTTCTGGGAGATAACTGCAATTTACATTATTCACCTCTTCAATGACCAAGATCAATGGCACCCTGGCCTGGATCAGCAATAGTGTGTCCAGCAGAACCAGGGCGGTGGTTATCCCCCTATACTCCGCACTGGTGAGGTTGCCCCTCAAATTTTGTGTTCATATTTGAGCTTCTCACTGCAAGGGCATTGAGGTGCTGGAGCCTGTCCAGAGAGAGAAGGGCAATGGAGCTGGGCAGGTCTGAGGCAGCAGGGTCTGGAGCTCAAGTCCTGTGAGAGCGGCTGAGGGAGCTGCGGGTGTTTAGCCTGGAGCAGGCTCAGGGGAGACCTCTATAGCTGCCTGAAAGGAGGGAGCAGCTAGGTGGGGGTCGGCCTCTTTTCACTGGCACCAGGTGATAGGCCAAGAAAGCAGAGCATCAAGCTGAGGTAGGGGAGGCTCAGGTTGTACATTAGGAGTAATTTCTTCACAGAAGGCTGATTAGACATAGCAACGGCCTGCCCAGGGACGTACCACGACAAGAGGTTTAAGGAAAGACCGGCCGTAACACGTCGAGCCTCGGGCAGGCACGCTTTCCAAGCTCCACCTCCACCTCCGCGTCCGGTCCCGCCCCGCCCCGCCCCGCCGGCTGCGGAGGGCGGGCCCGCGCTGCCGGAAGACCTGCGGGATCGGGCGCGCCGCGGGAGCAGCGCTGCTTCCGTCGCGCCACAATGGCGAGCTCTGGGCGGCGGGCGGGCCAGCGGTAGCGGGCGGTGAGTGCCCTTCTCTTGGCGGCCGGCGGCAGGGCGAGGCCTTTCCCGGCGGCGGGCGGTGTACACCGGCGGCCTGTGCCCGTCGCCCGCCCCTTTGCCTCCCTCTCTCCCTCCCTACGTCTCTCGATCCCCTCGTGCCTGGCCCTGCCGCGGCCCCTCTGCTCGCGGGCTGTGTCCGGCTGAGGCGGCAGGTTTGGGTTATGCTGCGCCACAGTCCCTCCACCGGAGTTGGGGGTCGACAGGAGGGGGCTGGGGACCTTCGTTAGCCTGTGGGAGGCCCAGGAGGAGCGAGCCGGGAGCTGCAGCGTGGCGGCAAGGGAAGCCTGGCCCACGTAGTGTGTTTCTTGCGCCGGTATCTTAACATCTGCGCCTGGGTCCCGCTGGCAACTTGGCCGGCGCTGCCTGATGCTGCAGGCCCCGCAGACAACCGTGTGCTGCCCGTGTGCGACGCCGCTGACCCCCAGGGCAGCCCCCTGCCCACACCAGGCTCGCACTCCAGTCGTGGTCGGGAGCCGGAGGCGAACGTGAACTTTGAGTTTTCTGTTTCCTTCCCGTGCAGGGAGGTATCGTCATCCAGCCTGGCGGCAGGGTGTGGGCGTTGCTTCTGGGGATGACTCTGAAATAGGCTGGGTTTAGGTCACTCTGAAATTCGGGTTTGACAGCGTTTCTTGCCTAAAATGGAAAGCATGTGCACTTCGTGCATTTGAAACTTTTCGTTCTGCTCTTAGCTGGAGCAGCTGCGTTTCCAGAGATGTACATAACTGGGTAAAATACTGTTCTTTAGGACAGGAATTCTATTTGTTTTGTTGCTTGTGTGGGACCAGAAAACTATCTTAATTTTAAGAGAGGCATAAACACTAAAAGCCTCAGGCCTGTAACATGCAGACACTGAGATTCTTAAGAGTGCCTTTGTGGCCCGCAGAACTTAAAAAAAAAATTAAAGTGAAAGATCATCTAACCTTCTCCCATATTAATGGCATCAGAAGGGCATTTTGTGATGTTTAGGTGCTTGAAAATTCTCTTTGCATCTCTACAGTTTCATCTGCATCTACATGTATTTTGAAAGAGAAAAATCTTTTTTGTTTGGTTATATGTGTATTTAAATAATAAAATGTTCAGTGTTGAGGAGACCACTGCCATTTAACATGTTTTATACAGTCTCTTCCTGAAGTTCCCCTTTCACTGTCCACGTTGATAGTGTTGGAGTTAGAGCTCTGTGGAAGTGTTTTGCATTAACAAAATGGAGGTAACCAAAGAAAGGGGGTGGATGTGCAAGCAATTCAGTGGTCCAGATGTTTTAGACAAGGCTAAAATAATATGAGGAAGGGGTGCTTAATACTGAGTAATGTGAGACCACACAGTGGTGGTCTGGCTAAAATGTGCAGAGAGCACATTGTTTCTAAGTCCATTATATCATACTTTCCTGATAGCTAGTTTGCAACTTAGCTTCTTCATCTCTGTCCTCTGATGATCATGATCATCTGAACAAGGTGGACAGTGTCTACTGTGGGCAAAGAGTAATATTCTGATGTGTAAAATGGCCTTGGGGTCATCCTTGCCTCCTTTTTTGTCTCCTTCAGCCATTCTTCCAAAACTTTCCCATACTGAGTTGAGACTGATGTAGACTCTTAAAATTTTCTATCTGTCCTAAAGACCTTAGGGCCTGGAAAAGCCATAGGCCTTCTCTGCATTTTATAAACCACCCATAGGTGTTAAGACATACTAAGAGAAGAGACCTAACTGAGTTTTGGCCTTTTCTTGCCTTAGTTTAAGGCAGGGCTTTGATTGGAGATTTCCATAGCAGTTAATACCCAATGTTCATTTCTTGATTGATTTTTAAAATACAGCTTTTAACTTTTCGACTTCTAGGTGGGAATCGCTAAATTGAACAGCAATAACCATGGGAGATGCTGCAAAACCTTGCTTTGCCAAACAAAAGAAGGAACAGGAAATTTTGCATCCAGAAGAATTAAAAGAAAGTCCCTTACAGATAGTCTACCAAGTCATGGATGAATATGGAAGTGGCTGTAGCAATAAAATAGATACTAGCCTGCAAAAGAAAAAGGGAACTCCAGGTCATTACGGAAACAGTCCCAGGCGAGGGCCACGAAGTGTTTTGAGTAGCCCTAATTCACTTAAAAACACAGCTTACAGTCAAGGGTCAAAGTTAAGTGATATCCAAAGAGACCAAATCCAAATGAAGAAGTGGGTATCTGATGATCACCATGGTACTTCTGACACCTGGAGAGAGTACCGTTCTGCTGCCTGGATTCCTGGGCATGGCAGGACAAGAAAGGACTCTTTTCATGAGGTGGAAAGTGCTGGAAACAGAAAAGTAAGACGACAACTTCAGGAAGATTTAATGAGCAAAGATGTGCCAGACGTGCACAAAGGAAGTTCTGGTAATCACATGTTTCTTTGTTTTTGCATAGCTATCCAGTACAGTAGCTTCCTGCATGTGTTATTGGAAAGTAAAATTTCAAGATTCACTATTAAAGCAAAAAAAGTGATTTTGTTCTCTCATGTATTGCGAGCTATTGACTGCTCTATACTTGTAGTACTTCAGACAAATTGTTACAGCAAATAATACTGAACTTGTTTTGTAGATTGTGTTGTCTTTGTAGTTCAGCCTGTGAGTGATAGGAGTACGTAAATTGCAGCATCTGTGTAGTGTCCTTGTTTGTTGTTTTCCCTGTACAATTTCATGGAATCTGTCAAGGCTGGTAAGAGATCTTTCAATTAGGTTGATAACAGGGTAAGATTTTTGGAGCTACCGATGAGGTCTTTAACAATGGGTCTTAATGAAGATTGAAAACAATTGTCAGTACTGTGAGAACTCGGTACAGGAATAACGTGAGTCTAGTTCTTCATACATGTGTAACTTCCCTGTGGGCAGTTGGTACTAGTAATCATAATACATATCCAAAGCATTGAAATGTCAGGAATGACAGCTTAAGGGAGGGTGAAATGATCAATACAATAGTATTTTCATTGAATGCAAGTAAAGCAGAAAAAGGAAGCTTAAAAGAATATAGAGAATATAACTTGTGTGTGATGCTGCTAACATGGAATGCCAGTCAAGGAGAAACCTGTCTTATTTTATTTAAGAGTGGCAGTCAAAGACAGTAGTGATCAGACCCTCTGCTGAGAAGAAGAGCTACTGCTGGTTGACACTAGGAAGTCCAGCAATTAAATGTCCTTTCCGTTGATACTAGCTGTCACTAAAAAGATAAACTGCGAACAGGTGCCCAGTGTCTCTCATTGTTAGAAGTAAGCTGCACACAGCTCAGCCTCACATGAGGAGAGAGCAGAGTGTTTTCACAAGTTTTTTTTTTTAGTTAAAGTTTTCTTTAGTTTCTACTTTTACTGGATGTAATGAACTTTTTTTCTGTGAAACTTCAGGAACTTACTGAAATAGATTTTTGGAACCACTGACAATCATACCTGAGAAATTAAGGGAAATGAGCTACTGATAACAGGAGTGGGCAAGTGTCTCTTAAAAGAGGAATTAAAATAATTGGTGTGCATCTTAAATCTTGGGGGTCAGTTTTGGAACAAATAATATACTGTAAGTATTTGAAAGGTAACAAAGATAAGAAGTAGTAAGTACGCATTTGTTAAGGAAAAAGTATGCCAAACCCTAATTTGTTTATTTAAAATAGTCGTGAGTCCCCTGTGGACATGGGAACGTCAGTTGGTAGGTGTTGCTTGTACTAGTACTGTACTACTTTGGATACTCTTATGTGACAGTTCTGTAAGTAAACTAGTGGAAAATTGTCAGTATTAAATTAATATAAGAGACTTGCAGACCTGATTAGGTGACTATACTCAGAAACTACTAAAGATTTTGTCAATTAATGAAAGTAATGAGTGAACGTCTAGTGAGTGAGGATTCTATTCCGTTCAATGTTTGTTATACTACTCTAATGATGAATGAAGACAGCAGACCTATTAATTGTGTGCTCTGAAAATTGAATATGCTGTGAAGCTGGTAAGAATGGAATGCAGAAAAGCAGGAAGGTCAATTAAAATAAGTTTGCACAGTTGGAGAAATGACCTACATATAGGATGAAATACAAAGGATATGTAAATGCCATTGTTTAAGGAGGAATATCAGCTGTGCAAATAAACGAGGGAAAGTTACTATAAAGTAGTATCTTTTTCGGAGAAGGGTCTGAAATGATAGTGAATCAGAAGTTGATAATAAGTAGTTATTGTCATGGCGTTGTGAGGCATGAAAAATGATTCACAGTCTGAAGTATCCCTCTTTCTGAGTAGTACTCCGTCCAGTTTTGGCACCCCACTTGTATGAATAAAATGGAAGCTGTGCAAAGAAAAGCAAGAAGGTTTTCAAGATATGTAGGAAACAGAAGCTATTCAAACTGTAAACAATGCCCAATATTTCTGCAAAATTAAGAGTGTAGGGTGGCATAGTAACAATATTCTGTGTAGGAAGCTATAAAAAGCTGATGAAGTAAACTATATTGTTTCTTTCCAGTAGATGGGACACAAAGCAATGGGCCTAAAATTGAGCAAGAAAGATTCAGATGAGGAATAAAGGTCAAGTTTCTAAAGGTAAAGCTAGGGAGGTTCTGGATAAGTTGTCTGGGCAGCTCATGGAAAAGGTACTTGAAGGCCTTTAAGAACAGGTTAGCTGAGCATTGCTCAGATTTGACAGAGTTCATTTCATCCTGCTCTGAAGCACAGGCAACAGGCATGGCATAGCGTACTCCTTGTGGTCCCTTCAGAAGTTCTGTGTCAAGTAGCAAAATTATTAAAAATGTTTCTTCCAGTATTTATTTGAAATATTTTGTGCAGTTGTCCTTTTCATTGCCTTTATGTCTTTTTTTATTGTAGCTCATAAGGAAGTTTACCAAATCTGAGACGCTGTTCTTTAGTACTTTATTTAATCATTAACCTATAATTAGATTGTCACTATTGTACCTACCAAATATTAGAAGTATTTATTTAGTTTGTAAATTTTTTTAAAGTTACTTGTTGGCTGCTGAAATGATTGATAAGTAGGTAGTTGTCACAGGCTTTTCTGTGAAAACATTGATATACCTCCATGTTCTATCCACACTGATTAGTTAAAAAACATAGTGAAACAGATGTGACACATCTTAGGAATTTGAGCAGAAGTGTCAGTGCAAAAATGGAAGATGTGGGGGAAGGTTCAGAAGCTCAGACTTCTGTTTCTGCTCCCTGGAGATTCCTTTGGAGTACTTCTACAACCTATTAGGCCTATATTCTATTTATTGCAGTGTGAACTTCTGCTTCTGCTGAAGGAAAGAAATTATGTTACCATCTTTGCCCTGGTACTGTTCACCACTAATACATGCATGCTGCATAGTGAACTGAATAAAATAACGGGTCACAAATATACAACTCTGTTGCTTCCCTTTTGCCAATTATTAGAGACAAAAATTGTGGTCATGGGAAAGAAATTTCGTAAATGTATTTGGAAGAGGAGTTTATGAGGTTTTTTTGTTGGCTTTTTTTGCCTTTTTTAATTACTACAAATTAAAGCCTCATGCTCTGATAAAAGTTTGGGAGTCTAAGGAAGTTGCATGAACTTTCTTTGAAGAAGGGAACTTTAGAAATTCCAGGCATTGTGACACCCTGTATAGCTGTACAAGTGAAAGGCAAGGTGTGAAAATCTGACATGTATATTTATTCCTGAGATGATTTTTACAGGTATTGGCTTTGGGCCAGTAGCAAAATGATGATAAAATTCACTTAAAAGTAGAAGTGGTATTTAGATTAATTTGTTCCAGAGCTTTTGCTGTAAACACAACAAGCTTTTTAAGCATTATTATTATTATGACAGTTTTACAGCTTTGTTAAAGTAATGTGCACATACTTAGCAAGTCCATTCTTTAGTCTCTGTAGCCAGCAGAGGTGCTTACTTTTTTCCACTTGTTAATTTAATGGTGTGAAGGTAGTTCTGATCTGTGTACTGGTTTAGCTGAAAGGCAAATTACATTTTCACTGGTAATAATCCTTTGTTAATAGTCTAGCTTATTTTTCTACCAAAACCTAGCCAGGCATCCCAAAATCTTTAGATATATTCTATATTTCCAGTGTAATGACATACTGGTATATTTATTGCATTTAGGGTTTTGGGGTTTTTTTGTGTTGTGGCATTGGGTTTTGTTTGGTTTTTGTTTTTTGTTTTTTGGTGGGTTTTTTTTGGTTTTTTTTTTGGGGGTTTTGTTTTTTTTTTTTTTGGGGGTTTTTTTTTTTTTTTTTTTTTTTTTTTTTTTTTTTTTTTTTTTTTTTTTTTTTGTTTTGTTTTTTGTTTTGTTTTGGTTTTTTTGCCAGTTTTAACAAAGGTATCTACATAAGGCAGTTTCCCTCAGTGGAACAAATTAATTTATTTATTTGTAGTTTGGGACAAAGGCACTATAGGTTGTGATACTAATATACACTTACTATTATCCACCTTGCACCGGACAAATTGTGAAACCAAACCAGGAAACCAGGTAGGTGAATTGTGCTTTCTTTGACTGTCATGTGAGTAGGATGTTAATTAAGGAAAGAAATTTTTTTAATGCTATGTGGCACTCTGCAGTTATTTGATATGTTTGCTCTCATAATCTTTATAAGAAATGAAGAAACTTAGAAAACCAAGAAGACTGAGAAGAACTAGAAAAGATGAGTGTGATCATGATGAAGTGGAAGGTCCAGTCATAGATGAATCTGTGCTGTCAGCAAAAGAACTTCTGGGACTGCAGCAAGCTGAAGAACGATTGAAGCGAGACTACATTTATAGACTGAAGAAGGTGCTGCTGTCTTTACTTGTACAGATAGACCTCTCCTATTTTTTGTGCATATAAATATATTCTAGATGGTACACTTTGAGCAATATCTGTGATTGTAGTTACAGAAAAGTTTAGTTGCAGAATTTAAGTAACGATATTGCTGTTAATGAATTGTGAAAAGAAGAGGGGTTTATCTTTTAGGTTTTTTGCTACAAAATTAATAACAGTTCAAGCTCAAAAAAATGGCTGCTCCTTTAGTTCTTGGAATGACATCAGTTCTTAATTAAAATGCTGGAGTAGTTGTTTCTTCAAGTAATATATTTTTCCGTGGGCATTGGGTATTTTCTCCTGTGAAAGATAAGGTATTGGGTGTGATTGATATGGTATCATTTTTCTGACATTATATTTGATGTGCAAACTTTTTGATGGCAAATACGAAGTGAAGGAAGCTAAAGTGAGTGGATGTATGTTTCAGAGTTAGTCCCTTGAACTTAGCAAGAGTACTGAATGAAGTGAAAATAATATTTTTATGTATTTTGAGGGGTTTTTTTTACTATCTTTATTTTAGCAACCTCGAAGCTACCCATCAGCAAAATATACCTGCAAGTTATGTGATGTTCTGATTGAGTCGGTGGCTTTCGCTCATAAGCATATTAAAGAAAAAAGACACAAGAAAAGCTTAAAGGTGAGTTTAGCACAAAAAAAGTATAAACTGTAGTTTAATGAAACCTTTCTTACCCCACTAAAAATTATGAGACTGCACTGCTTTTAAAACCATTCCACATTTAGTTTTTACCATGTTCCAATCTTTTTAAAACCTGTTGCATAGTGATGCTAATGAAAACAGTGAGCCTGGGACCTGGACTTTGCAATGAGCAGTAGGAATAAGCAAATGCAGTTGCTATGGCAGAATGAGAAGTTACAACCTGTATGTCAGAATGAAGATTTCAGTTCAGAAATACTGCAAAAATTAAGCACCTGTGGAGTATTACAGATTTGTTTATATGTAAAGGAAATAGGTTTGTTTTGAGCATAAGCATCAAAATAACTTCCAGCATAATATAAATTTTACCTTTTTTTAAAAACATCTTCTATTTCCCTGCTTGAAGTGGACAAAAATACATCTCATGCAGATTTTCTGTTTCTTCCTCTCTAGCTTCTACATTTTCACACTTCATAGGTGATAAAAGAATTGGTGATTTTTTTTTTTAACATGACCAATACATGTATATATATCTCTGAATGTTACTGAAGCCTCCTGCAGCATCAGATTCTTTATTTATTCCAATTATCTGCATTACCTGAAAAATTTGTGGTGGTGGTATTACATGGAATGAGTTATTGGCATTCATTTTAGCATGTAAAGCAACTCAAGAAACTTACTAAAACATTGTTTTTATCTTGAAAGGAAAAACAAGAAGAACAACTGCTGACTGCTCTTCCTCCTCCAACGCCTTCCCAGATACAAGCTATTGGTGTTGCTATTGAAAATGTTGTGCAGGAGTTTGGCTTAAATAATGAAGATCTAGAAGAAAGGCTTAACATTAAAACAATGATGGAAAACTTGCTGCGTCAAAAATTGCCAGGTATTATTTGCAATTTAGGTGTTAGATATGCCAACTTATTAAAAACAAAATAACAACAAGAACTGAACAAACAAAAAAGAAATCAACCAGAAAAAATCCCCAAGAGCTTATGAAATGAAAACTGAATTAAAAACCTTGGCTCTCTAAAGCAGCATGTTTAGTGACTAGTCTGTTGAACAACTTGATGTAGCAATATAAACCTGTTCCAGAATTAAATTACAATAGTGTTCATGACTCAAACAGGCCTGTAGTAAAAAGTGAAGATAAAAAGAATGTGGGAAGGATTTGACCTTCATGATAAGCCTTTACCAACAACAGCATGGGAGGCAGGATTTAGTAGCAGTTCTGGGCTGTTGAAGACCTTTTTTTCCTGTGCTTACTGAAACCAGGTGTAGGTTTAAGATTTATTAGTAATGCTGTAAGTAGCTACAGACTTAGAGTTAGGCATAGTGTAAATGAAGTATAATTATTTTTGTTGCAGAGTGTTCATTAAGATTGTATGGCTCCTCCTATAGCAGATTTGGCTTCAAAACTTCAGACTTAAACATAGATACCCAGTTTCCTGCCAATGTAAGTAAGGCCATTTTATTAAATGTTTGTGAGTGGTTTTGAATGTTTGCATCTTCATGTAAATTATAGTGTGGTAGTAACACTTTTTATAAAAGCCCATTGGGTAAAACAGAGGCAGTCTGGTCTTAAAATAACATTCTTCATAGAACTGTAGTCATCAGGCAGTGTAATACATCTTTGTGTTTTGTTGAAACTTCTTCTGAAAATACTTAAAACATCTGTACTATAGCAGTCCTCTGAGACAGATGATTATTTATATTCTCTGACAGCTGGAATAAATGACACTTCTGTGATCTTGTTTCAGTACTGATTCACATATGCACATTTTGACTACTGGGTTATATTTGAGCCATGAAACCTCATGGTTATTTATATGTGGAGTAATTTAAGGTCTTTATTTGTCATGTTAATTGTTTTTATGCATCTTTGTGCTTGAACACTGAAAAGAAATTAAGGATATGATTCCATACTTAAACTTACTCCTTCTGTAGTTGATTTGGCAGTCCCATTGTTAGAATTTAACATTTCCTTTAAGAAACCAAGAATGATCTAAGTTCATAAAGTGCATAGAATTTTAAAAAGCCATAATTCCAGTCTTTAACATGATGTAAGTCCACTGTGTCAGAATGCTGTCATATTTAAGCACACTGAAACAATAATTCTGCTCGTGGGGGTTTTCTTACCATAACCAAGTCTTTGATAGATGTACAAATAACTTTAGGAACAATTCCTTCAGGATTATATTTTTTTTCCTTCAAAGCAAGCAGAGCCCCTGTTCCTTTTGATACAACTTAATAATAGTGAAGTACACGTAGAGGTGGTGTTAAATTTGAGTTGTAGAAAATCACTTTCTTGACAGGTGGTTGATACAAAAACAGCTTTATTCCTTTTATTGACAGATGACCCAACCAGATGTTCTCTTACTTGTACAAGAAAGTCTCCAGAACAGTGGTAAGAAAAAAATGCTGCCTTCTCAATTTCATTAAACTATTACTGCTTAGTATTGTTGAGTTTCACCTCTGCTGAACAGGTACATCACATGCTGTTCTTTTTTTAGAAAGATCTGAGACTGAATAATACTGCAGAAAAGAATACATTAGGAAAACTACTTTTGGTTTGACATAGAGTGTTACAAGGGCTGAAGTTCTCATATTTTTGATGATGTGAGAAATTCCTAGTGGGAGGCTTTCTTCTACATTATGAGGGAAGATGTGTGGTAGACTCTGCTGCCCTCTCCAGCCTGCTCTATTAGCCGTGCATAGTACAGAAAGGAGCCTAAGTTCTTTAATATGTAACAGAAACCCAGTAATGTACTTTAACATTGTGGTCTCTTTTCCTGTAATTACCTGCATAATGACATGTCTGTCAGTTGCAGGTGATGGCCGTGATGACTGCATACAGGCACACAGAGTTTTTTTCAGATAATGTAGCTCTGCGCGTTAATACAAGGAAATAAAGTTTAAGATCCTTTAAAAAACTGCACTTACTCAAACCAATTCAAGCATATGCAGACAAGAAAAAAAAATGAAAATATTGGGTGGGGAGCATGAAAACTATTATTTTTAAATGCAGATTGCAAAAAGTAGCTTCACTGTTTTCTTGCCTTGTTTTATGTCCACAGTTTGGGAACCACACCACAGGGTTCAAAACATGTATGTTTACTGATCTCGATTTTCTCAGTGGCCCCCCCACCATCACTGCATGTGCATTTTATTGTCTGGACTGTTGTGGTCTTTGAGAATGGGGTTATTTTTAAGTTAGGTTAGAGGAAAAAGATCCAGATTTCTTAAGAAGTTAGGATCACCATTGTATCACAAAGGCAAGTAATATTTGCATTAATGTGTTGTGCAGAGTCTTCTCTGTGAGTGAGAAGATAGAGGGATAGAGTATTAGGTGTTTGAGGTACCTCAGTGGCTAAAGCAAGATAATTTTCAGTGAAATTAGGTGTCCATTTGGCTAAGTAACATCACAAAAATATTGTCATTTCAGAATTTTTGAGTAAAGTATCTGAAATTGTTTGACAATTTCCTCCCCTCCTGGCCCAGTGAAACCATAATTCTCAAAAGGTATCAAAAAATAAGTCTAGTTTGGATCAAATCAGCACCACTAAGAGAAGGGACTAGGGTGGCTGACAGCTGAATGATATAAAGAAGAAAAAAAGAGAAAAAGCATAGCAAAAGGACATCATGTAGGCAAGCCTGTTCTATAGTTACATAAAAGATTGTCAGATAACCAGGGAAAAAACTTTATTTCTGTATAGTAGTAATGTAACACTGGGTTTTTTTTTATTTTTCACACTAATATTGTTCCATAGGTGTTGTAGTTGTCTCTGCATGCCTCAGTTACTCAAGGCAGCTGTTAATATATACCTCCTTAATTTTACCTACTGTGTATATATGAATTTTGAAAAGTTTGGTTTTTCTCAGTATTTTCCTAACATTCTTTATTGTATAGACCATATTCTTCAACAGATATGTGAAATTCTTCTATCACACATGAAATACATAAATTACATGTACTTTATTTTTTTCAATACTAGTCATTGTATTAGAAGCTGAAATTCTACCTTTACTCCTCTAGTGCATCCAGTTCAATGTACTTTTTATCAAACTCATGTTTAATGTAGCTTCTTCTTTTTCTTTTTCCCACTTAGAATCTTTTACGGAAGTTGATGCAGATTTCCATGCTAGAATACCAGTGGTGGTGTGCAGAGAAAAGCAAAGGTCTCGGTTGTCACTTTGTGTGTTCTAATAGTATATAGCAATGTAAATTATATTACCACCTGATAAATGACGTTTCTGTACTAAATTATTACAGTTCCATGGATCTTGAAACACAAACTAACACTCATGGGCAAGTCATTCCTAGCCTAGAATAAGAGGGTAAGGGTTGTTCTGTCCTCAGCTGTGTATTTCCCAACCCCTTCAACCATTATGGCTTCCAGCATGTACCCTTGCCCTTCCATTTGGGATTATTGCTTAAGCAGAAACTTTCCTTTCTTGTAGGTAGTGGACATACCATATGAAATTATAGATTTCTGTAAGGATAAGAACAGTTTGCTTAGCTTCGCTTGTATTTTGAGAGCAAGTGAAAAATATTTTATTTTGCCCATTTGATGAATGTCAATTAAGATTCATGAAACATTCTATAAACAGCTACTGATGAAAATATTACCAGTTATTTGCTGCTACCTTGATTTTTCAGTGTTTAAAAATATTTTATGTTGTGTGAAAACAGCATAGAACCTGTTTGATGGTGGGTGTGGTGTGGAAAGAGATTTTTGTTTCATGAAGAAAATTAATACTATAACTTTTTCAGTTCAGTAAATTAATTTTAGAAAAATACTTAAATTTGAATTGTATCTTAAAACACTTGTACAGAAAATTATAATGCATATATTCTCAACCTAACTATAAATCAAATTAGTATTGCATGCTGCTTTTCATGCAGAGATGCTGTCTTTGAGAGGCTGTCAAGTCTTTCTTTACAGCCTTCTGCCACACTGTTTTGTGAGGTGTTATCTGACCTATGGATGTTACAAAACCTTCAAGATCTTTAATTTCTTTTCGGATTTTAGTGGCCTTATTTGTAAAGTGAGTGCAGGGAATGAGAATGCTTGTCTGACAGCAAACCATTTGGCTACACTTGGAAAGCTGGAGCCTACTATCGTACCTTTAGTGATTGCCTTCAGGTACTGGGCAAAGGTGAGAGTCATTTGTATTCCCTTATCTGTGAATAAATATTGAATTAACTTTGATATCATGCCTGTAGGTGTGGTTTAGAAAATGGTTGTTGAAACAGCCCTTGGAAAAAGAGTTGAAATAAGGACATAAGTTTTTATAAATTTTACATTTTATAAATTTGTATTATCCTTTGTGTGTGATAATGTTCCACTAAATTTCAAAAGTGGAATTTTAAGTTTCATTCAGTGTAATGCAGACTGTAAGTATCCTGCTCTGTTATCAAACTATTGAGAGGAATGTATATGAGATACAATTGCTAGTTTCTTGTAAACTTAATCCATCATGAAAAAAAAGGAAAAAACGGTCTTTATTGTAGGTGAAAACAATTTTGGGAATTATCATAACCAGTAAAATTTATGTGTCTGCAATTAAAATATTAATTAGAAATTGAAAAAATTCTGACTTGCACTGTATCTATGCAAAAGGAGCTATCATTTTTTGCAAATATGGTTTATGCTGTCTGTTTTGCCAGTCTCTGTCCTTGTGGCTCTTACGCTGAAAATGTGGTAGTATGGTAGTAACGGCAGTAAATACTCAGGCCTTGAAAAAATTGCATCTGGTAAGAGCTCAAAGATATCTGAGTTTCTGTAGTATTCAGTGGGACTTCTGAGCAGTAATTAAAACAAAAATTTTTTAGTATTACTTGAAGCTTTAATGGCTGCACAATTTGTTTTTACAGTTATGCTGTGTTGATCGTCCTGAAGAGGGAGGCTTGTCACCTTATGTGTTCGCTTTAATGGTTATTTTCTTTCTACAACAGAGGAAAGAGCCTTTTCTGCCAGTCTATTTGGGATCATGGGTATGCATATTAATACATTGAGTAGTATAAATGAGAGGACCAGTTGCTTGTGATGGTATATAATCTGTCAGCTTTATGCTACTCTGAGCAAGCCATAAGCGAACCATTTCTTGAAGGATTAGGAATGTGAATTCATCATCATTCAATGACTACACTTAACTTTAGTATGCCTAGCTGTAAGGTGGCATTTCACAATCCTAGTCACTGAAGTAAGTGCTCTGTTGCTGCTTCTGTGAATAAGGGGAGGTGGGCATTGAATAATGCATTTTGCAACAATTTACTTCTTCATTTTTTTCACCTTTCCTCCAGACTGTTGAGAACTCAATCCACATAGCTACATCCCAAAACAATGTCTTGGAATTTGCCATTTAATTCTCCAAAAAACAGAGAGGTATCAGGACAAGAGAGATAAAGGTTGGGGCATATTCTAGACGTGGAACAGTTGTTTTTAAACTTCAGTCTGCTGCAGTGTGGGGACTAAAATTTAAACTTCATGTGATGTTTCACTCTGTTTCTTTTTCTGTTTCCTCTAGATTGGAGGATTCTCATTAAACAAATTAACTAATTTTCATCTGAGAGAAGTCAAGAATGATGCTGTGGTTTGGGAGCATAACCCCACTGATGACTCTGATTTGCCGCAAGAAACTTCCCCTAGAAGGGGCAAGGTGTGAACTTTTAAATTTGCTTCTGTAGTAGTCTAGCAGACATTGCTGTTCTCAAAAAAGAACAATATTCTATTTCATTTCTGTGCTTATGTTTCAAAACTGTGAGCTGAACTAAGAGATTGGATGGCTGCTTGCTTCAAGGTCTGTTGTGCTCAGCTCTTGGTGCTAAGGAGCTGGCAGGAAAATAGATATAATTTCAAACTCTTCAATAAGACCCTGAATTTTAATCTGTTGGAGAGAATGTGGTTTACAGAGCCAGAGTAGTTTTATCTTGGAATTAGATTAAGCATATGAAAAATATTTTCTCTTTGCTTGGAACTGTTCTTACAAATTATTCCTATCATAACTTTGTAAGAAACAAAGTTTGTACGAAACAACTTTGTAAGAAACATATGACTGCATGTTGCGAGAGTTAACAGTTCAGCCTAGACTTGGCTGAAAAATAGGCTGTATAATCCATTCTGGCCTATGACATGAGATACGCGTTTTTCTTTGAAATTTATAAATTACAACATAAACACTTAAAGAAGCAATTGTTATTAATCACTGATGCTACTCTTTACCATTGCTGCATTCTTTCATTTTGAAAGATTTTTGAAAGATACATTTATACTGTATCTTCCAACTTTTTAATTGTGGTTTTTATTGCAGTTGCAAGTCGAGAACCAATGATAAATTCTGCCACACTAGATTACAGACGACATAAAGGAAGAGTAGCAGTTAAACAGTTAAATGCTTGTGTACTACGTATTATTTAAGGTTTTCTTCTGTAATTGACAGGTTCCCTTAGTATTTGATGTAGGTCAGCAGTGTTCAGCACCTGTTGGTCAGCTCTGGCTTGAACTGCTTCGTTTCTATGCTTTGGAGTTCAATATGGCTGATTTGGTTATTAGCATACGACTCAAGGAACCAGTGTCTCGTGAATTAAAGGACTGGCCTAAAAAGCGCATTGCTGTGGAAGGTATATAAATATCTCTTAACAAACTTCAAAGAACTGTAACTTAAATTTTTATAAGGTGCTGACTTGGCTGTTATTATTGGCTGTTACAACTTAGAAATTTTTAATATTGGACTGGTTATAGTAGAATTTTTTTTTAATCAACTTGATATTTCTATTGGGCATTATTTTTAACATTATCAGAAATAATTAAGTGAACTAAAAATTGTATTCGGCACAATTTGTAGATCTTGTGTCCCTACACAATGTTTAAGAGTTATGACCAATTCAGAATCTGTAAGGATGTAAGTGTATTATTCTTTTTTTAAGAAATTAACTCTTTCACTGCTGGCTCACTTCTTCTTTCTACTAGACCCGTATTCAGTCAAAAGGAATGTGGCAAGATCTCTGAACAGTCAGCTAGTGTATGTGTATGTTCTTCACTGTCTGAGAGCAACTTATAAGTATTTTGCCTTGCCTCACAAAAAAAATGCAAAATGGAGCAAAATACCCTCTTCAAATGCAAATGAGGAGAAATCCCAAATGCTGCACCATGGAAAAGATGCTATAAAGCATGAAGATTCTGACTTGCAAAACTTGGAAGGTAGAACAAACACAGCCATAGTAGAAGATAGCATAACAGAGGATACACATATTCCCAAGGAACATAAAATTGGTCCTTCAAAACTGTGTGATGGCTCAGAAAGTTTCACAGAAGAAGAATTGGCTGATGATATAAGTCATCTGGGAATTACCCACGAAGATTCAGACTGTATAATTGAGGAAGTTATTTCTGGAGATAATGAGGATTTTAAACCTAGTTGTGAAGAGACAGAGAGTGAAAATGAAGATGAAGAAGAGGAGGAAGAGGAAGAACATGAACAACAAAAAAGACAGTGGGATACTGTTTTGGCTGCTGAGCAGACAATTGATGAAGACAGTGACAGTGGAGAACTCCCTGTTATGGTGAATGAGGATGAAGTAGAGACATGCAGGATTTCAGACTCAGAAGGTTTTCAACACACTGCACTTACAGAGAGTGATGAATGTGGCTTGGAGTGCAGTGGTATAACAGATGATAAGATCGACATTGATGAGTATAGTAGCACTGAAGGTACTGATGAACTGGATGAGTCCCCACAAAAATTCCTGTGTTCAGCAGAGAGTCAGATATCCCAAATGATTAACTCAGATGATGAAGAGGAAGAAGAGGAAGCACCAACTCTTCTAAATCAGAGAGAATGCAGTGCTGCCATTAGAGCTGGAGGTGAACTAGATAACACCTGTACTGGATCTGGAGATGATGATGTGCTGTCAGAGGAAGACGATTTTTCCATCCCCAGTAAATATGAAAACAAACAATTCAAAGAATGTGTAGCTGCACCTCTGAGAAACAATTTGAGTCAAGAATATCTTACTGAGAAGGGAAGCCATTCTGAAGAGAGCACAGCAGTTGAACAGTGCTTAGAATCTGAACTTTTTTATGAATTCAGTAAACAAGCATTTACAAAGGGCAAGGTAAGCAAGCTGTATCAGAACATAAACATATTGCTTGTGTTCTGTTAGAAGTTATATGAAAGTGTTGCTCCAATTTATTAAAGTACTGTAGTTTTTAAAACTAATCTTGCTTTTTGTTCATGCAGTCTCCTACAGTAGTATGTAGCTTGTGCAAACGGGAAGGTCATTTAAAGAATGATTGTCCAGAAGACTTCAAGAAAATTGAGCTTGACCCACTGCCACCACTGCCACCCAAGTTTTCAGTTATTCTAGATCAAGTTTGTGTCCAGTGTTACCGTAAGTTTTTTCCTTTGAATATTGTGCCATAAAAAAAGAATCTGAAAAAAAAACGGTAATACCCACAGACTAATGATGTTATAAGGTGACAGTTTATTTGCTACATTGCCTCCAACTCTTAGATACAATTCTACGATTTGGCTTAATGATAATGGCTCTTACAGAACTGCTGAGTAGTTTTTATCTACAGAGCTAGAAAGTGTTTAGATTTTTCTTCCAACTGGCTGGTTGATTACTCATACAGGAAAATAGATTTTCTGAGAATTTTGGGTGGAGTTTTTGACTGATACTTTTGTATTTGTCTGAATTGAATTATGTTAACTGTTCCTTAACTTGTAGTTTTCATTAAAAAAGACTTGAGTATTCTAGGAAAAATAGTGTCAAAATATCATTTTGTAACATTTCTCCACTTTTGTTCTTTTCAGAGAGACCCAACTTTCCTCCTTTCTCTCTCGCCATTTCTGACCAGACAAAATGCATTGTTTGTCTAATTAATGTTTTTCTTTGAGCAGGTATTTCTCTTCTACTTCATCCTTGCTTTCTTTCCTTCACATGTGAATTTTCTCTTCTCTTTCCCTTCCCTTGCCCCACTGTAAACCCCTCTCTATTTTCACTTGAGTCTTTGCTCTTCCTAAAGAACAGTTGCCTAAACTGTTGTCATTTTTTCTTCTTTTTTAAAGATGATTTTGCTCCAAATATGGTAGAAGATCACGCTCGGGAACATATAAGACAAAGCTTAGAAATCTTCATCAGACAGGATTTCCCAGGTAATAAGGCCATTCTAACTTCATATTTATATTTTTGATTGTTCATACTGGAGTGTTTTCCAAGAAAACGTAACTTCAGTATAATAAACACTTTAGTTTTGAATATTTAACCCATATTGTTGCTCAGCATTGGAATACTTCATTACATATAATTTTTGTTCTAAGTCTTTTAAACTTTTTTTAGGTTTGGAATTTTTTATGTATTCATATATAGCACACATTAGTAGGAAGGAACAATGGCAAGTTAAGGAAGAAACAATCAGAGTGGAATAGTTTTACATTTCTTATTTTAACTTTATTTATTAATCAGACTTATTTTTGTAACTGCTCTTACAAATAACAAGGTTTTTTTAGTACTTCCTACTGAAACTTACTGGGCTTGGAATATTTTAAAATATAGGCACAACATCTGGCCTATTCACAGAATCTAGGCATTTGATTTTTTTTTTCCTTTGTTTGTTTCTGGAATTCTTGCCTGTAACACCTGGACTACAGTTCATGGTCTTTTAAAATTAGAAAAATATCTTTTTGGCTGGAACCAGGTATATCCCTCACCCTGAGGATCTCTGTACAAACCATTTTTCAGTCAGATGTCAGCTTGAACCTCCATGCTGATGATTTAATTACTGGAAAACGTAACTTGTTTCTGGATTTGTCAGGCTGCTTATTTGAATCAGTAATAGTAGACATTCTTTTCTCATAAGCAAAATTGATCAGAAAGTTTTCATGAACTACAGAAATACAATGGTGTTTTCCTGCCTGTATTAGAAGACATGCAGTGGTTTGCAGCTACATACATTTTGAGATTCTATGTTATATATAATTTTATATTTTTTTGTTGATATATGGCTGTAATAGAACCCATGCCTTACAGGAACCAAGCTCGATTTGTTTGGCTCCTCAAAAAATGGCTTTGGCTTCAAACAAAGTGATCTTGATATCTGTATGACAATAGATGGTCTTGAAACTGCTGAGGTAGGTTGAGAAGATTTTGGTTTTATGGTTAAACAAATGCAGAATTTTCTTATATTGTGTATCTAGCATAACAAATTCATTATTTTATAAAAGCTTTTAATATTAGAAGGAAATACTAAGGTATCACTAAGGCAGATTATTTTGGGGATGTCTACTGTTGCCCTAGGGGTGAATATAAGAATAAAGTAGCCAGTTTTCTCTGGAATTCTGAATTTCTAACTTTATTTGTGCAGATAAGTAACATTCTTGATTGCATAAGCAACTCAGAATGGGAAACATGGAAGAGCACATCAGTCTCCTTTCATAATATCAGCTTTAAAAAGTTTCCTTTATTATATTATCAGCAGTTGATTTTACATATGCTATTTTGAAACTATTTCTTGTATTCATATAATTATGTATAACATAAAACATTGGATTATACAGCTTTAAGCTTAATGGTACATAATGAAAGGTTTGCCTAAAATACTTGCAGCAGATACATCTTTCAGCTTTTTTTCTTAATGTCTTAGGGACTTGATTGCATCAGAATCATTGAAGATTTAGCGAAAGTTCTCAAGAAACAGTCAGGTAATTTTCTGGAAAATTAACATAAGTGATTCTGGTTTTGTTACTTCATTTGCTGTAGTAACAGTGTTCTGGGGCACTGTAGGTGAAAATCATTAAGATACAACTAACATAAAAGAGGTTATGTTAGTAAGAGTGAGGTTGAATGTTTTGAACGTTTGGATTTATTTTTGTTTGTATATATAGTTATTCAAGGTTATAATATTATTGGACCACATCTGATCTGGACAGATAGTATGTTTATAACTTACACACATGAGAATGATTTAAGACTTGAGGCTTCAGTTTAATAATTACGTATTTTTATGTTCAGTGCATTGGAAGTTGATAGTAAAAGATATTCTGATACAAGTCTGCAATGGGAATCCTAGTTTTTTTTCTACAAGAAATAATGATTTTTATAGTGCTCATTTTGGTTGTAATGAACTATCATTTATGTCTTAAGCTTATTTCGCTATAAAGAATTTCTATACTCGTATTTAGACTGCTATTTATTTTTTTGAGGGGGCTAAACATACATTTGTATAACTGTTTATCAGATTGATCATGTTTGACAAATTTCTAAAATCAGTGTCAAAACATAACTGAAATACAAATTCGGTGTCAACTAAGATTTTATTTTGTAGCCTTTTGGCTACAGTTGGAAATTAAGTGTTACTGTGTAGGTTTGTATTATAGCCATCCAGTAATAAAACATTTCATCCTAGGTTTAAGAAATGTCTTGCCTATAACAACTGCTAAAGTCCCAATTGTCAAATTTTTCCATGTCAGAAGTGGTCTTGAAGTAGACATCAGTTTATATAATACTCTGGTAAGGTTATCTCCTTTTTTATTTTATATTGTATAACAAAAACCTAAGAATCTGTATTTTGAGACTGATATGATTGTTGGGTGAGGTTCAAAAAGCAACTGTTTCCAATTACCTGTTGCAATTTTATGTTTCAAAGAAACCTTTTTAGTTTTGATTGTTTGACTATGAGTGAGTCAGCTGCACAGTTGTGACTTCAGAGTTGTCACTTTCCTAAGAAAATCTATTAGTTCTTCAGTAATAGTAAGAAATAGTGGTTTAAGTATTGTAAGTCTTTCTCAAATGAGAGTAAAAATAAACTAACTTCAGATTTCTTAGACTCCTCTTACCATCATGGCTCATGCCTAGGCTTGAGACCTGAAATAGTGATTGTGAACCCAGCTTGCCTGAAGTGTAACATATTAGAATGCAAAAAAAAATTATTTTTTAAAAATCATGTGTTCTTGGCCAAACATTTTAAAAACAGATTTAGTTTATTTCAATGTCTCTAATTTTCAAGTCCCTGTTCCTTGAAACAGCAAAGGATAGTTAAGTCATAGAGACAATTTTTAAGCTTTCTGAAGGTTTTTTATGGACTCAGGGGGAGTCTTGAGGAGAATACCTCAACCACTAAGTGTGAAAATGTTCTCCTTGAAGTTATGCATTCATACGTGTCCATTGGTAGCTCTTAAAGATCTGGACTGAAATCTCTGGGCTCCAGTAGTTACCTTCTACCAAATATTTTGAAAATGTAGTAGGAGATTAATGCTTCTTGTTTTGAAGTATTGTTCTGTGAATGCTGCTTTGTACCACTTCCATACAGATTAAGGAAGTTGCTTGGCTTTTAAAAGAGCAGATGATAACCTCATTGTGGAGTGCTTCCTTTCTCTATATATATTCCTGCTATGCAGGGCTTCACATGTGCATTTCTTGAGGACACAACTTAGTTCTTCTTTTTCATTTTTTCAGTTTATTTTCTTCATGACTTCAGAGCTTTTTTATTTCTACATGACTTTCTTACTTTTGTAGGCCTTGCATAACACCAGACTTCTGTCATCATATGCAGCTATTGATCCTAGAGTAAAATATCTGTGTTACACAATGAAAGTCTTTACAAAGGTAAGTATGTTTCAGGCATTCTAGAAGCAGTAGTTACTGCAGCAAGGGATAATCACCATGAAAGATAAAAATCATGTTTGTTTTTCTAGATATGTGACATTGGAGATGCATCTCGAGGTAGCCTGTCATCTTATGCATATACTCTTATGGTGCTTTATTTCCTTCAACAGAGAAATCCACCAGTCATCCCTGTTCTTCAAGAGGTACAGTATATCAGAAACAAATTAATAACTGTACATGGTGTTGATCAGAAGAATGTCAGTGCTGAATATGAAAGGCTCTTCTAATGAGTTTTAATACTACTCTTTCAGATCTACAAAGAACCAAAAAAGCCTGAAATTTTGGTTGATGGCTGGAATGTGTATTTCTTTGATAAGATAGAGGAGTTGGTGAGTAAATCAGGCTAATGGAATGTTACCTGTAGCTTGGCAAATGAATAGAAATTCCTTCTAAAGACGGTGTTCCCAAATATAGAGGTTGACTTCTGTGGTTTAACCCCAGCTGGCAATTAAGCACCACACAGCCACTCTCTCATTCCCCCAGCCCCATCCCTGGTGGGAAGGCTAAGGAAAAAAAAAAAAAAAAAAAAAAGTAAAATTTGTGGGTTGGAATAAAAACACTTAATTAATTGAAACAAAATAAAATAATAGTTCTCATACTTTTAATTGTTACAATGATGTTAATAATAATAGTAGCAGCAGCAGTAGTAATAATGGTAGTAATTAAAAGAGAGAGTGGACTAAAACGTAAGAGAAACGAGAGATGCCCAATACAACTGCTCAGCAGCTGCTGACTGATGCCCATCCCTCAGCAGCGGTAAGTACCTCCTGGCCACTTCCCCTGAGTTCATGCACATGGTATGGAATATCCCGTTGGCCATTTTGGGTCAGCTGCCCTGGCAGTGCTCCCTCCTGGCTTTTTGTGCATCTGCTGGCTGGCAGAGCATGGGAAACTGGAAAGTCCTTGGCTTCAGTGTGGGTACTACTGAGCTGCAACTAAAATATTAGTGGGTTATCAATGTGATCAGCATTATTCTTATGCTAAATACACAACACAGACTATACCACCTACTGAGAACAAAATTAATTATATCCAGAACAAATGCAGGAATGGAAGTGGAGTAGCTCCTGTTTTGAAAATCCCATTCTGGTGTTGTAAAGCTTTTAGAATATGGTTGGTCATAATTCATCTGTGAAAAAATAAACTCCAAAATCTCACAAAATAGATCACAAAATTATTTTAAGCTGTTAAGGATGATTAATTGTTCTTTGTCTCTCTGGATGAAGATAACTGCTACCACCTGTATATCTGGTCATATCTGATTAATTCCCTTGAGTAATTTTGTTTTATGCAGTGGTGGTATTCACTTTATAAAGTGAATTGATAAATTATTTTCTTAAGAGGAAAACCTAGTGCCAGAAGTTCTATTAATTGTCCACTTAGGTTGTTAATGGACAAAAAATACACTGTTTAAAATCAATATTGGATTATCAATATAAATTATGAAAGGAAGTATTCTAGTGTAACTCTGTTATTTTTCTGTATAAAACAAATGGTGAAAATATATTATGGAAATCATGAAAATGCTTCATTGTAAGTACTGAATGTAACAGTAATTTTGTCATTTTAGTCAGTTGTTTGGCCAGACTATGGGAAAAACACTGAATCTGCTGGGCAGTTGTGGCTGGGACTTCTCCGATTCTACACAGAAGAATTTGATTTTAAAGAGCACGTCATCTGCATCAGGAGAAAAAATCTGCTTACAACTTTCAAGAAGCAGTGGACCTCCAAGTATATTGTAATTGAAGGTAAAACCGTATAAAATACCGGAATATACAGAATTTCTTTAACATGAAAATTTTGTTTTTTTCACAAGGCTTATTTATTTTTCTATTACTAGATTATAAATTGTTAAATGCCTATGTTTTGCACGCATCTCAAAATTGCCATTGAGTTTCAGTAGTGCTAAACAATATTCTTAAGGGGTTTTTTGGCTACTGAAAAGAAGTCACAAAGCAAACTTCACACTTTTCATTAGGAAGTAAATGGCAGAAAAATAGATTTAATAAAATCCCTTGGCAAAGAAATAAGGTATAATGCAATTGAGGTGTTCTCAAAAATACTAGGTTTAGCTGAGCCCGTATTACCTTAAATGATTCAACTCTTTATGATTATTGTTTATTATTGCTGTTTATTATCACTGTGATCTCTGACAGAGAAAATGCAGTGACATATTTTAGAAATAATCTGTAACTTGTTTTCTGGCCCATTTCATTTTCATGGAAAGAATTTCTACTCTTTTGTCTGCACATTGAGGAATGCCTGTCATGTTATTTTCTACAGATCCCTTTGATTTGAACCACAATCTTGGAGCTGGATTGTCAAGAAAAAGTAAGTCTTCTTTTAACGATTTCAGTTACAAAGTTGAAGATCTTGTCTTGGATGCTGTTTTACATTCTAGCTTGATATTTAAATGATTACTTCAGTTTGGGGTTTTTTTTCTTCCACAGTGACAAATTTTATAATGAAGGCTTTTATCAATGGCAGAAGGGTATTTGGTACCCCTGTAAAAACATTTCCTAAAGAATACCCATCAAAAATGGTGAGTTCCTTCTAAGAGGAGTATGTGTGAGCTCTTTGGCGTATAAGCCAAAGAGCCTTTGCTCTTTGCCTTTGCAGGACTGTGGCTACACTCACTGTAAACTCTTTCTCTTAAACTTCCACACTAATCTAAAAATTGTGGGGGTTACCACTGAGTACTGTTTTGATGTTACCTGCATGTAAAATATTTTTGTAGGCAGAATGCTAGTCAAGTCAGAGTTTCATTGTACAGATTTATGTATTTTAATCCAAATCAATACCACCTTAGCCTTTCTTAAAACTGCAGTTTTATAACAGTGTGCAGACCTGATGGTGAGTAGGCTGCCTGTCAAAGAAGAGATCAGTGGCTAGTTAATTCATTAGGTCTTTCAGGGTTCAGCTACAGACCCCAAGAGTATTCCTTTCTGTAACTCTTACTGCTGTTTTGACACTTTTGTATCTGTCTTGGTTTCCAGGTGTTTGGATTTTCATTTTAAGTATATGATTTCTTCTACAGGAGTACTTTTTTGATCCTGAGGTTCTAACAGAAGGAGAATTGGCACCAAATGACAGATGCTGCAGAACTTGTGGTAAAATTGGCCATTTCATGAAAGATTGTCCCATGAGACGAAAGTGAGTATAGTATTGGTGTCTGTGTGTATCTTTTTTCCTTAGGTTTGTTTAGGAAAGGTTAGGGTAGTAATGCTAAAGCAAAATGTGTACATGCTACAAGTTATTTCGTAACCTGAATTAAATTTAAAATGTATCAATACCTCTTTTGGCAGTGGTGGATAGTGTTGCTGCAGAACTGTTCAAGTATCAATACTGACTCTCCACTTCCTTTTACAGGAAAGGAGAAGTCAGAGAATCTAAATATTCAGCAGAGCTCAGTAACTGTGTGCTGTGAAAAGTACTCATGGATACATTCTGTATTATTATTTATTGAATAGCTTCTACTACCAGAATTTTGCTGCTCCTAGCAAGATGTGATTTTGTCAAGTTCACAGAATCGTGCAATTCCTATCAAAAGCAAGGCAAGAATGTCACAGCATTATTTTTCATAAGCACACATGTATGAGAACAATGTCCTGTTTTACATCCAAGAGAATGCTTCTTGTTCCTGAGTAGTCAAGTCCAATATTCAACCACTCTCTTCTGGCAATAGATGAATGGCTACATGGCTTTTGCCGCTCCTCCTGTTATGAAACTTAAAACTTATCCTTTAATTTTGATTTTAGTTAAGACAAAGTTCTTTAAAGACTTCATGTCTAAAAAACAGTGAAATCTTAAAAACTTTTATGCTCACTTGTAAGGTGGATGGAAAAATCTAACCATTGTTTAGAATCTATTTATGTTAAAAGCTGTCATTTAAAATCATTTGCACTTTCCTGTAACTAAGTAAAAAAAAAAAGCTACTAACATCCTGTTGGATGAAATGGCTGTTCCGCTACACATTAGAGATTTGTGAATTTACATTGTTCATTCTGTTAATTTGGAAATTTACTCAGCTTTAGCAATCACAAGCACAGTAACCGATGATAGTTTGAAATTAAAGAATGCTGAAGTTCATTAAAGAATGGTGAAAGTCTCCTCAACGTCCAAACTGCTGTCTTAGATCTATGGATTTTTAATCTTGCATTCTGAAATGAAATACCAGTTCATTGCACATACTCAGCTATGTTCTATACATTATTAGAGGAAAAGTAAATGAGATTGTGCATCTAAGAACAGAAATGCCCTGTGGGGTAAAACCACTGATACATTTGAATCATTCAGCCATTTATTGCAAAAGGGAGTGCTGTCTGTGAAGGGAAAACTAGTTGGTTTTTGTAGTCTTTTCTCATGCATTCCCTCAGCATCTGTAGTTGCTGCATAAAAGAGATGTTAGAGAACATACCTGCCCTGCTCTGCTAATGCTCATTTGTAGACTGGATTTCTTTATGATTTTGTCCATTAAGGTTTGGGGTTTTTTTCCCATGAACCTGATTCTCTTGGGTGTCCTTAGCAGTCTTCTGTGGCAACCATTTCTATAAGTGTTCTGACTGATATGTGAAACAGTGCTTTCCTGTATCTGTTTAAAGCTAATCTTGGTCATCCAATAACTTGCTGAGTGTGCACTTAAATCCATTTGCCTATGTCCCTAACAAAGATATTAAATAATATTGGTCCCAGAACAGACCTCCGAAGAGTACCACTCATCACTGGTGTTGACACAGACATCAAGACATTGACCACAATGCTTGAAGTGAAACTATCCAGCCAATTCCATATCTACTGAGTGGTCCACCTATCAAATCCATGTTTTTTCATTTTGTAGACAAGGATGTTGTGTAAGACAGTGTCAGATGCTTTGCAGAAGTCCAGGTACATGATGTCAGTCACTTTCTTTACCCACCATTTCTGTAACCCTTATTTATAGAAAGCTACCAGATTTGTGAGGCATGATTTGCTCTTAGCAAAGGCATGTTGGCTATCACCAGTTGCCTCGCTGTTTTCCACGTGCCTTAGCATAGTTTTCAGGAGGATCTGTTCCATGATATTACCAGGCAGAGGTGAGACTGACCAGCCTATAGTTCCTTTTATGCCTTTTTTTAAAAAAAAGCTTACCTTGAAGCTCATGCCATTATTTTGCCTTCCATTCAGTTTTGTGAAGTATTTTCCAAGTTTCTAGCCATTAGCAATACATCCAACTTGCCAAAGGAGCCTGGTGTCATCTTCTGATTTGGAGGTTTCACTCCTGTCTCCTTCTCTAGTCATGTATGAAGTTGTTAAATGAAACAAGTCTGATGGTGGTAGTGTTTCTTCACTACTAGACTTTTAAGTCACATAGACTGTTAGAAGCTTCTCTCTACAGAAGAGACTTTTAGAGTGAATATGCAGTTTCAGAAGGAAAGAACTGAGTTCTGGTTGAGTCGCACAAATAGAAAAAAACCCAGAACTGTAGCCCTATTTTTTTGTAATTCTTTAGCATTTTGCTTGGTGTTTCTTTTCTTTCATTGTATGCAACTTGAGTAGTCAGATTTTCAGTTGTTCTTATATTTTTTGAGTTACCATTATTAGCATTTAGAACTGTATTATCATCTAATTGTAAAATTAAATTATTAAATACTTATAACATCATGAGTGATGAAGTGGAGCACTGTTTGGTGGAAGAGTCAAAGGAAAAATATGGCAATTCAATTTTTGTCCAAGAATTATTTTGTCTAAGGACAGCACATGCGTTTTCTGTTTGGATTTTTTATTGACTATGTGTATAAACGTAAGGCTTCTGAATCCTGTAGCACTTTTCTGCTCCTGCAGACTAAGACGGCGTCGTGATTATGAAGGTACACAAAGGTATGGAGAAATCGAGAAAAAAAGCAAAGAGGACAAAGAAATGCAGAATAAACCAACAGAAAAGGAGAACTTAATCAAGGAGGGAAAGCTGCACCTATGTACACCTCAGAAGAGGAAACTGGCAAGGGTAATAGTGGAAACTGGAAGAGAGAAGACTCCCAGGCAATCAGCAGAGAAGTGGAAGCGCCCGGAAGACAGAGACATAAGAGAAAAACGTTGTTTTATCTGTGGAAGAGAAGGTCATATTAAAAAGGAATGCCCACAATATAAAGGAGTTGCAGGTATGAAACTGATCAAGCTGAGTAGTTTAAATAACACTTATGGGTTTTTTTTGTATTTTTAACGTGATTGACTAACAGATAAGGTTTTTGCATCATGTAAACGTGGGGGGTTTTTTTAATGTAGTCACATTTAATCATTTTCCCTTCATCCTCACCTTCCTTTCAGAAATGTGCTGTATCCTGGGAGATTTGGCATGGTTTCTCTTAGCAGATAAAATATTTGTAATAAAAAGGGTATGAGTATCAAATATGTTGAAATTGCTTTCATTGTCATCACAATATATGAGTTTGCCAACATTTCAAATTACTGGAAGCTTCTCTTCCAGTTCATCATAATTGCAACAAAAGCTAGTGTTACAGCTCTTCACATTACCTCAACCAGAATGATTCTGTACGACCCTGAAATCAATATGAAAAGTGTACAGATTTGTTCAGATTGAGTTTTGTGAATGAAATAATGTTTTTGACAACTCAGCAGTTGAAGGGATACAGAAGTTCATCTTACAGATCCTGACTAACAGACTTGAATGAAATACTGCTAAGCAAAGGTATATAATCATCTAAGTCTTTTTTCAAACATGATGAATTGCTCATTATTTGTGTTGTGAATATCTTTCTAAGATAAAACTGAGACTTAAGACGGTAGGTGGTATGTGTAATTAGCTTCCAAAGGAACAAAGTATCACTGTGTCCCTGAAGGTAAACCTGGGTGCACTTAAGTTCAGGCTGGAAAAAATTTGTTTTACAAATTAGTCATGACTTGACCTCTTAAAGAAACAGATTGGAGTCTCATATAATTATATTTTTTCAACCAGCTTTTCTCTACTTGAAAAAATATCCAGTCTGCCTTAAGTCAGAAAACTCTTCGTAGTCAGATGCATTTAGTGGAAGAGAGCATAAGACTTTGTTAAAATACTGGAAGAGGGAGGAAAATGGTGCAAGTAAATTCAAAACTGTGAATATATTTGGAAGTATTCTTACTTTGATAGACTACTAGAAGTACTGGAGGGACAGAAAAGTTGATTAAAAATTGAAACCATATTTCATTCCGCTTCTGACCTTTTGAAGGTGTATGTCAAGTCTAAATTTAACTTTTGAGTTTGTTCATCTTTGACCTTGTCTCACTAAACTTCTCTTCTAGCCATTCTCTTTGCTGTGATACTGAGTCTGCTAAGGTGAAGGGGAATATGCCTGACTGTTTCATATTCAATCACATTTAGCATTCATCACATGAGAGCTATACTTAGGCTGTACAGTATATATATATATATATATATATATACTATATATGTCTAAAATAGTAAGTTCTGCAACAGGTGTTTTTATCTGTTATCTGTATTTTGGGAATTAATACATTTCAGTTTGAAAGAATTGGTGTAGGCTGGGCTTTGTCTTTTATTGCTTGCTTCGTGCCTCAAGTGTTCTATCTAGTTGAATAAAGTACTATGAACAAATGGATCAAAGAGTTCAAACTTCACTCTTTGCAGCGTTGCATTTTGTGAGACTACGGACATGTCACTTACCACCTTACCTTCATTCATTCTAAGTTCCCTGTCTCCTGCTGATTCTGGAGGAGGATACAAAGATTAATTTATTATAGGTTCCTAGCTTAAATGTATGTTCCTATATTATGCAAGTTTTCCATGTCATAAAATTGAGGAAAATAACAATTTCCTACATTCTTCATTTTCTTATTCTAGATAGAAAATATTTTGGTGCTTTTCTGTTTAATGATAACTGAAATGGAAACTAGTTTCCAATTAGCAACTCCTTTTTATTATTTTTTTCAGATGGCTCAAATCCAGAAGTGTTGTGCAGGTCCCCTTCTTTAACCACTGCTGTCAAACATGCTGGTAGATTAAATCAGGTAAACACCAAGTGACACTTTGGTTTCATCTTTTACTTTTTATATGTTTTAAAGTAATTAGGAAAAGCTTTACTTAAGCTTTCAAGGAAAAACTTTTGTTATGAAATTAAATACTTCAGTTTTGTTGGTTTTTTTATATGTGTATGTTTTTTATAGGGAGTGCTTATGCATGAAGAAAAAAAGAAACAAAAAGGAAAAGTATTTTTGAGTCCCCAGTCAGGTTTGTATATCTTCAGTTCAATTCAGAAACTGTGGGTTTGCCTGGGCAGCAGGGCCAGGGAGGGGATTCTGCCCCTCTGCTCTGCTCTGCTGAGAGCCCACCTGGAACCCTGCATCCAGCTCTGGGGTCCCAGCACAGGGAGGACATGGAACTGTTGGAGCCAGTTCAGAAGAGGGTCACCAAAGATGATCAGAGGGATGGAGCACTTTTTCTATGGAGAGGCTGAGAGGGTTGGGGTTGTTCAGCTTAGAGAAAAGAAGGCTTCAGGGAAGACTATTGTGGTCTTTCAGTTGTAAAAGGGGGCCTTTAAGAAAGGTGGGAACAAACTTTTTGGCAAGGACTGTTGCAATAGTAAGGGGTAATTGTTTAAAACAGAAAGAGGATCAATTTACATTAGATTAAAGAAAAGTTTTTTGCAACAAGGATGGTGAAATACTGGCACAGATTGCCCAGGGGTGGATGCTTCACCCCTGAAAACATCCAAGGTGAGGTTGGATGGGGCTCTGAGCAACTTGATGTAGTTGAAGATGCCCCTGCCCACAGCAAGAGGGTTGGACTAAATGACCTTTAACCCAAATTGTTCTATAATTGTATGATTCTTCATCAGTCCTTATAGAAACTAGCTAATTTGCTGAACACAGTGACAGATTGAACAGACTGAAGCCACCTATTTTTTTAATCTGGAGAAGTGTACAAATTTTGAGTTTTGTATTGGAACCAAAACTTGGGCATAACAATTCTGTGCCTTTATATCATTGACTCTGGTGGATTTATTTTGCAGCATGGTATGGTGGAGTTGTATCAATCTCTCCTGTTTCAGCTTACGTGGGGTTGGTTCTCTGATTCTTCAGGGACAAAACACGGAATGCTTTCCTTTGAGGGTTTCTTGCAGTAATTGTCTAGAATTATACATGATAAACTAATTTAGATTGTCAAACCACATCCTTGCTCTGAGCTGACAAAATGCAACTGAGTTAAAATTACATTTAGAAGTAGCAGTGGGAGTGCATTATAAAGGCCTTTATGTACTCTTCCTGAATCAGAAATGTTCTGCCTTAAATGTGTGATTAACAATGTAGCTTCCTTACAGCAATTTCACACGCTTACTAGCGAGTACAATGAAGATTTTAAAAGAACAGCTGCTTTTGTTTTAATTACAATTTCTAGTGCAACTCTGCAAACCTTTCAGCACCATGGGTATATAATACACTAATCTCTCTACAGTTGGAGGGGACCTAATAAATTTTCTAAAGTTTTGAGAACTTGACTGCAATTAAGTATCTCAAATTTAATTATCAGTTTTGTTAGGAAGACATATCTTTTGTTAGCAAGACACATTTTTTTTGTTTTCGCTGGAAGGCTTTTTAAAATCTAAGTTTGGGGATTTTGTAACACAGAGTGGTTTGCCATTAGGTGTTTAGTTCAAGAAAATGCTAGTTCTCAATTTTGTGTCTATTTACTATCTAATTACTGTCCTTTGGCAGGTAGTGATCTTAAGTTGATCTGTGTGTCCTTTCATTGTAGTTTGACATGACAGAAATTTTCTTCTGTCTTTTTGTTTCAGTTGGTTTATGTCTTTCTGGGTTTTTTGTGGGTTTTTTTTGTTTGGTTTTGTTTTTTAAAACCCAACAAATAATACCTTTTAAAGCATTATGCTTTTTTCCTCCCAATTTAGGCAGCCTTTCCAATAAATACATGACTCAGGGAAAAGCCTCGCAGAAGAGGACCCAGCAAGAATCATGAGGGATATTAAGCACTGATAAATTGCAACACAGGCCCATCATTCACTTAAAAGAAATGTCTTTGGCTAAAGCCTATGAATTCGCAGGACAGCAGCATAGACAACCTTCAGCTTAAGTTCAATTAAAATATGGGTGTTTTCTTTTAGATTGCTAGTACAAGCAACTGTGGATTTTAATACAGACCCCTGCTCTTTATAATAGATTGTTTGAACATTTTAATAGAAAGCCATGATGTTTTGTATTTGTTTACTAGGTAATGCATTTAGAAAAGGGCAGGTACTAAAAATGAACTGTTTTTAGGGTTTTGTTGTTCCACCTGACCATTTTAAACTGCACTAAAACTATGTGCTAGCCAAATAAATTATATTTTCTTCAAAAATGAATCTTTTGAAGGAGCAAATGATATTTATTAATGTTGATTGTTTACTGAATCCTTGTGTAAGTGTTTGAGATGTTTGTAAACTGCTATATTCTTTTCTATTTCTCCAGAGAACTAAACACATAGGCACTAGTCATCATATGTTAAACAATCTCTGGACAAGCAGTGCCACTGAGATTTTGTGGGGTTGTTTTCTGTTCTGTGATTTTATGGGAGTTTATTTGCTGCTGTGCTCGTGTTCAAGAAAGAAAGAAAGACTAGATAACAGGTCAGTCCTGTTTTGTTGCTGCTAAGAATCTTTTTCAAGGCCTTGGGGATACAGACAAAAGTGCTTTAAGAAATAGAGGTATTATATTTGGCAACTGGGGAAAAAAACATGTCCGTTTTCATAGAATATGAAGAGGATCCTTGTACCAGTCAAGAATTTACATTCATTAGTAGTACGAACTTGAGTTTTACTTGAAGTCCTTCCAGAGGTGGTAATGTACCATCTTATCTTGTTCAGAAGAGAATTAGTTATGTGTTAAAATTGAAACCACTGTTAATTTATGAATCTGAAATAAATTTAAAAAAAAAAGTGAAAATCAGACTTAAGTTTCTCTTTTTCATAAGGTTGTAGTTCTCAATATTCCTGACATAAACGTGGAATTAATGCTAATCTACTATAATTATCTGGATTTAGAACCATCATGTTAATTTTTTTTTCCCTATCTATTTTTATGGAAGTTGAAAGCTACAATTGCCAAAGCGGTCTTAGGGAACTAGCATCCTAAGTCTTGTTTTGGTTTTCACCCATCTGAAACCAGCTATCTATGAACTTCCAGATGTGTTGCTTTCACAAGTAATTTCTTCTGTGTTCTTTCCTAAACACATTTTCAGGTGTATTACCTTTGTGCTTTATTTAGCTCTCTTTTTTTCAGAGCGACTTCCAATTTTGCTGGTGGGATTGAAGTGTATAAACCTCTTCTGAATGAGGTGCATACTCTGTCCTTCTTAATGATATGGAGGGACACACAGTTGTTTATTTATGCTGCCCTTTTTATTGGAAAAAAAGTGCTGTCATCATATTTCTCAGTAATTTCAGAGGCTTTTGATGTCTGAGTTTCTAAAGCCAGAATATGTTTTATGCTGTGAACAGTAGGTTATCAGTGCTGAGAAATCAAGAAATATGAAGGTTTTTCAGGTTTGCAACACAGTTAACTGTTTTAAACAGGTAATTGTCATTTAGCTGTTTAACTACTAGATCACACACATCCGTTTTCCCTAATGTAATTGTTCTGGTGAGGTTTGTTTCCTAGCTATATTTAAAACTGTTTCCCCATCTGTTAAAATTTTATTTAAAGCTTCCAGGTCTTGAAATAGCTGCTCAGAATGGGAGTTTTCTAGCATGGAAAGTTGTTGGCTTTTTCTTCCATACTGATAACTTATCAGTATTTCTTGTTACTCACTTGAAATAGTTTGATTTTAAAACTGATTTTTGCATTTATCTTCTCTGAGAGAAGGCTGTTTTTCTAACCCATGCTCAGTCTTCCATGTGGAGATTGATTCAGCAGGCAGGGGACTAAGGATTGATGATTGGAAGCATCCTGAGGAAAGTTGTGCCTACATGGTCAAGTGTAAATGATAAAGGAGGTATTAGCTGCATTTGTACACAAGCTTCCCCCCTTCAAGTGTACTGACTTCAGCTTTCAGCCCAGTAGTGCATTAAACCCGCCCCCCCCAGCTCCTAAGTAGGAGTAGTTTAGTTGAGATGCACACTCAGGGTGCATGAATTATGTGTGAAAATACACACTCTTTGTAGCTAAAGAAATTACAACTTTTTTATACACCTGCTATCTTTATATTTAAAGTAGTAGTACTGTGCCTCAATAAAGAGCATAATTATGTATGTAAAAAACACGTAACACATCTTACATACTACCAAGCTCTTCAGAACTACTAAACCCAGAATCAGGGAAGTAAGTGAGGTGATGAGACCCAAATGTATTTCTTGTGCTTGGACTTCATTAACAGGGATTTAAAATATTATCTAGCATATTTAAGGATGCTGGAATGTGGAAATGAAAAATAATTACCTATTTACCTTCTGGCATAGCCATCATTCATCTTAAAGTAATGTCATGAGGCTCCCTGTACCAAGGCTATTGGGGCTTCTTCCAAGTCCAGTCACTGCAGCCATCGGGAGTTGGGGAGTGGCAGGCAGATCAGTTCATCCAGCAGCTTTCACACTCTCCTCCCACAATGCCTCTGCATCCACCATTGCATGGCCATCCTCTCACTTGGCCCCAGACCGGCATGAACCCAGAGGAAAGGGCAGGATCCTGCTCAGCAGGAGGGCAGACAGTGCCTTGTCTGTGATGGATCAAAGCAGTCACTGGTTCCAGGTTCTCCGCACTTTGCTCAGGGATATGTCCAAACTGAATTGCTCTACACATGGGTTCCTGTTGAATAGCCATGTGCATTGTTATTTTAGAATGCTTGCCAGTGTGACAGTCAGTAAATATTCACACTCTGTGCCTGTATTTTGTAGGTGGGAAACTGCACTTATCGGCCTCCATTGTTCTCTGCTGTGGGAAAATGTTTGGGGGTAGAAAGACAACAGTATGGAAATTATAGAGGAAAAGAGCATTGCTACTCCCTGGATGGAATGTGGCCAGCATATCTGCCTTCCCACTCACTATACATGCTAAAGGTGGGTGGAGTAGAGTACACTCTAACCAGGCTCTTGCAGAGGCTTGAACTTAGTGGTCCTTTCTGGCTGATAAGCTGCACAGCAGCTGAAAACCAAGGGAGATGAAGGAAGATGTGCTGTTGATGAATCAGCAGCTGTCGTGGAATCCTCTAGGCTGACACGTTATGCATTCTGAGATACCCACCCCCAACGTACAACTACTTCTCACAGGGTAAGCTATATGATTACAGCCACTGAAGCTCCATCTAAACATGACAAAATAGTACAAAAGTGAATTCAGAAGAGTGAGAAGTTAGGAAAGACTCCATTGTAACTTCTGGAATCAGTTGACAGCCTCAAACTATCGTTGCCCCTATGGGGACATCTATGGGATAAGAACAGTGCTCTGTGGATGGCCTTGAGCTGACTTCTATTAGGGATTACAGTTTTTTAGTACATTGCTTTGAATTAATACATTGCTCTGAATATGTTTTTTGAGGTCAGCTACTATCACCAGCAATCCTTGAACCTTAACATGTCAGAATTCTAGACTGCTTCCAAAGCAGCAGGACCAGGGAGGGGATGCTGTCCCTCCTGCTTGCCTCTTGTGAGACACCAGCTGGAACGCTGCACCCACCTCTGGGGCCTCCAATTTAAGAAGGATATGGAATTGTTCAAGTGTGTGGCCTCCTCTGCACAAAGCTGATAACAGGACTGCAGCCACCTCCCTTATGAAGACAGGCTCAGAAGGCTGGGGCTGTTCAGCCTGAAGAAGAGAAAGTTAACTAGAGACCTTATGGCAACCTTCCTGTATCTGCAGGGGGCCTACAGGGAAGCTGGAGACTCTTCATCAGGAGCTGTAGTGATAAGACAAGGGGCAGATTTAAATGAGGTATTAGAAGAAATTCGTTACTGTGAGGCAGGTGAGGCACTGGTAATGGGTTTCCCAGGGAAGTTCTGGTTAAGGACTTGACCAGCCTAGTCTAGTGGGAGGTGTCCCTGCCCACAGCAAAAGGGTTGGGACTAGATTATCTTCAAGCTCCATTCCAACCCTCTAACATTCTAAATTAATAAAGATTGTTATTCCGTAACATGTTAACTTGAACCTTCAACGGCGCTGACAGACTAATCAATCATTAAAGGGTTTCAGGAAAAAAACCTCCCCTTTCCACATGACACCTGGGCGGCTGTTTTGCGGCGGCCTCCGCCAGAGCAGCTGAAGGGCAGGGCGTCCTTCCTGGCTGTCTTTGCCGCTTATCTCGGCTCGCAGCCCCGCTGCCTGCGGCGCCCCTCCCTCCCTCCCTCCCTCCCGGAGCCGCAGCGGGACCGGGCGCCGCTCCGGGGGTGGAGCCGCCGCCGCCCGTCCCCGCCCGCGGCCCGTGCGCGGTGGCGTCACAGCGTGCGGGCGGCGCTGCCCGTGGCCGAGGGCGCCGGGCCATGGCCTCGTCCGTGGTGCGCGCCACGGTGCGCGCCGTCAGCAAGCGCAGGATCCAGGCGACCCGCGCAGCCCTCACGCTGGTCAGTGCCGCGGGCGGGCAGCGGGCGGGACGCGGGGACCGCGGCACCTCGCGGGTACGGGAGCTGCGCCACGGGCAGTGAGGCGGCCGCTGGCGACAGCGGGGCGGGCACAAGGACGGGGACGGGCCGCCCCGCAGGGCTGTGCCCGCTCGGCCGGGCAGCGCCGGACCGGGATCGGCCGGCGTCGTAGCCCCAGCAGGGCGGCTGCGGCGGGCGGGCTGCAGGGGGCTCTTCTTCCCCCTGCCGAGTCGAGAGGCGGTAGCTCCTGCTCCTCGCCAGTCCCGCTGAGAGGAGGCCCCGTGCTCCGCTGCTCCGTCTGCGGAACCGCAGAGTTCCGGGGCAGCGCCGGTGCGGCCCCTGCGAGCGCGGGGCCTTGACGCATAGCCACCCCAGAAAAAAGTATTTTATTAAAATTTTTTGGAAAAGGGTAATAACTACCGAGGCTGACGCGTAGGTTCTTTCCAGGAAGGCTTTACATCCTGTTGTTAATAATAAAGTGCGTGCATTCTGTACTAGCGGCCGTGCTGGAGAGGCGAAACTTGAAAACATGGTGTTTGGTCGTAGATTGGACTCAGTGATCTCAGAGGTCTTTTCCAACCTCTGATTCTGAGAGCACTGCAGAGAAAAGTGCAGTCAGTTCCCCGCAGGAACAGGGGCAGATCGAGTGCGCATAGCTCAGTCGTTTGTCAGGGCAAGCAATTCCTGCTCAGTAGTGGGTCTCTAACAACAAGAATGGTAGCGGTAATTAGAAAGGATTTTTCTACTGCAAGTCTGCTTGACGTTTGCTTTGTGTGTTTAATTCGGCCCATGGTAGGAACTTCACATTACTAATGCTTTTCTCAGTGTCTTAGAAACTTGTGGGAATGTAATGAAAATTTCGGTGTTTGCATTTCTGCATCAACTTGATCTGCATGAATGGTGAATTTTATCTGCTGTTAAGTCACAGGTCCCTTAAGGTTAATGGAGAGAGAGAAGTAGGCTATAAGCCCTCTATATCTAGCTGATTTTTGTCTGTAATGTATGTGTGACAAAATTTTTACAAGAAAGAGCTACTTGATTGAATTGGGATAGCGATTTTGGAGGAAAAAGTTACTAAGAAACAACATGGATCTTGACAGGCTTGAGAGGTGGACTGATACAAACTTCATAAAGTTCAGCAAAGTGAAATGCAGGGTCCTGCACCTGGGTTGGGGCAATCCCAGGCACGCCAACGGCTTAGGTGGAGAATGGATTAGGAGCAGCCTTATCAAGAAGGTCTTGGGTGGGATGGTTGATGAGGGGCTGGACATGACCCAGCCATGGGCACTCCAAGCCCAGAAAGCCAAACGTGTCCTGGGCTGCATCCAAAGCAGCGTGGGCAGCAGGGGAGGGAGGGGATTCTGCCCCTCTGCTCCGCTCTGCTGAGAGCCCACCTGGAACCCTGCATCCAGCTCTGGGGCCTCCAGCATAAGAAGGACATGGAGCAAGTCCACAGGAGGCCACAAAGTTGTTAAGAGGACAGCAGCCACCTCCTTTATGAAGACAGGTTGAGAAGGTTTGAGCTGTCCAGCTTGAAGAGGGGAAGGTTGTCTGTAGACATCACAGCATCCTTCCAGTATGTGCAGGAGGCCTGCAGGGAAGCTGGAAAGGGACTTCTCATCACGAACTGTAGTGGTAAGACAAGGGAGAGATTTAAATGAGGAATTAGGAAGAAATGAGTGGAATGGAGTGCCCAAGGAAGTTCTGGATGTGTTCAAGCCCAGTTTGGGCTTGAACCAACCTGGCCTATGTCCAAGGCCTTGACCAACCTGGCCTACTGTTCCTGCTATGGCAGGGGTGTTGGAACTAGATTATCTTTAAGGTTCTCTTCCAACCCAAGCCATTCTAACAGCCAAAACCCCCACTGTTAAGGATTAAGGATTGAATTTTTGAGGTATCTGTTTGCTGGCAGTGCGGGTGAGGAGAGAAGAGGTGGTGTGTTCTGTGTCAATGAGGTTGAGGAGACATCTGTTTTACAGCAGTGTGTATCTTACAGGCATCAGCTTTAATACATGCAAGCACTCATTGCAAATATACAAGTAAACAAAAAAAATCAAATGTATATGTATTCTTTTGTCTTTCAGACCCCTTCTGCTGTTCAGAAGATAAAAGAGCTTCTGAAAGATAAACCTGACCATGTAAGTGTAGACAGAGTCAGTCTGTAGGGTATGCTAAGGTATTAGCACAGCTCATGATTGCAAAGCATTTCTGGCTAACTTAGAAGTTTGAACTGAGCACTGAAGTGTTTGTTAGAGATGTTGGCATATTTTTTTGGTGGGGAATACATAAGCTTTGTTTTGTTATAAAATGAAATGCAGGAAACAACTGACTGTAATGACAATTCACTGTACAGTTACTGTTTAGATTAATAAAGTTGGAAAAACTTTAAGCTTCAGATATTTTTGAGCTACATTTTAATGAAACCCTTTACTATGGCATAGTAAAGACTTCTGATAGGGAGAGAGCTTTTCAGCTGTTATTATTTAAGTTCTTGTAGGAATTCTCATTGTGAAGTATGCAATAATAAAGTTATATTCATATGCTTTAGAGAATATCTAATTCTTAGGAAACTTGCCAGACAGTGTGTTTTTTTAAGTAACCAGTGCTTCACCAAATGATGGCTTTGTCATCTTTTCTTCTTGAGGGAAAGACACACAGAGGCTTCTTTTATAATCATTATAAAAACAAGCATTAGCCTTCTTTTTTTACTGCAAGTATTGTTCCAAGAAGGATATTTCTTTTATTAACCAAGGCCATTGTTTGTTTTGCTTCCTGCATGTCTGCAACTAACCAGACTTATTTGTTACAATGTTTTAAACCATCCTAAGGAAGCCCTGGGCCTACACTTTATATGGTCAGTTGTTTCCTGGCTTTAAATGGTGTTTGCATTTCCCAACCCATTATTTGTAGCAGTTCCTGTAGAGAAAGGTATTCAGTCTGAAAGGATCAGATGCAGTTTGTCTTGAGGGCCCATTTGATGAGAAGTGTTACATTTTGATACATTATTATCACAACATATGGACATATATAATAAAATTTGGCTCTTCAGTTCTGAAGCACTGGTGCGTAGAAGGTGATATAGAATACTTCTTAAAGATTCTTACTCACAAATAGTTTTCTACTTTGTTAAAACGTCTCGATTTTCTCCTTACATGGATGCTTTTCTTGTCAGACTTGTTGAATGCTGTGAATGTTACAAACATTGACTAAGTTGGCTTTTAAGGCCAGTTAAAACAGTACACATATACACATATACTTGATTTAGGGAGGGGTTTGCTTCCTGGCAGTAGAGGTAATGAAAAATCAAAGTATGTTTTTCAGAACTTTGGTTTAAAGTAATTTTCTGATGGTGTCATTACAGGAGTTCTGTGATAATCTAGTAACTGCCCTTATTTTGGCCTCACAGCTTCATAATTATGTACTGTCATACTACCTGAATTAGCATCTGAGTAAATTGTAATTTGAAGTTGCCAAATACCTGACCTCGAAATTTGATGTCTTTTTGAGACCTGGTTCCTATAGGAGTGCCCATGGTTCATTACTTCAAAAATTTAACATGCTGTAGGGCATGATCCACTCCAGCAAGGATCAGATGGGTTTTTTACCTTGGCAGTCAAATTTATAAAAGAAAAAAGAAAAAGTTACCTCTTATCTGTTACAGTAATTCACTTGTACATTTAGGCAGTGGAGAAAAATAAATGTCAGCACTTCATTGTTCTGCATACTTTTTAACTAGATGTTCCAAATAGGTTTTAAAAAGGAAGTCATGTGTGTGGTGGTGTTTTTTGTTGTTTCTTTTTCTTTAGGTAGGTGTGAAAGTAGGTGTTCGTACAAGGGGATGCAATGGACTTTCTTACACATTAGAATATTCAAAATCAAAAGGAGACTCTGATGAAGAAGTAGTTCAAGATGGTGAGTTTCTGGTGCAGCAGCACAAGCTTCTGTGGTAGCGGGGATGAAACCTGGTCATTTTGAGAGAAGAAATCTGTGTTGTCAAAGTTTTGTATCTTGTTGGATTTACAGACTTTAAGAAGGGTATGAAATGGGTTACTGTCTGCTATGCATGGGAATTGTGTACTCAAGCTGAGATTTGTTGCCATGTTCTACAGCTTATTTACCTCAGCATCATTTTTTTGTCCCTTGTCAAAAAACAGACATTCATGTGCACACGTAAGTAACAGTTCCAAACTTCTATCAGACTTCTGTTGGTAGAAAGAAAACAGTGATTGAAGTGCCCCACATTAGGCCAGGGAAACCAAGTTGTACTGGTAGTCTTTATACTTAGCTTCCTCTTTTTTTATTAGTGGTCAAAAGAGAATTTTTAAGTGAATGATGGTTTTGCTGTATGTAATTTCTGGTTTTCTGTTCTTTTCAAGGGGTTAGAGTGTTTATTGAAAAGAAGGCACAGCTGACACTTCTAGGAACTGAAATGGACTATGTAGAAGACAAATTGTCCAGTGAATTTGTCTTCAATAATCCAAACATCAAAGGAACGTGTGGCTGTGGAGAAAGCTTTAACATCTGAAATCTCAGGATTACTTCTTTGACTTTGAGCAGCCTAAAACACTTACTATTATGACTTTCAGAAGCAAATGCATTTTCTTCAGGTTTGTAGGCTGCGTAAAGTGGGGATACTATTAAGAAAAATAAAGTTACATATTTGAAAATATAAGCTGTGTGTTAAATTCCACCACTGATGTAGTTATGGTGTAATTTCTGATGAATTGGGATCTCAAAGGTAAGAACAGTAAGTGCTGCAGTAACATCTCTGTACTTCCACTTGCCAAGGAAATAAAATTTCGCTGTTCTTTTCCTCTGTCATTTTCTTTGTCAATCCTACTCATACTTCCCCATTCAAAACTCATTTGAAAGAATACATTGTGTTCTGCTTTGATTTGGGGAAAACAAACAAACCAATGAACAAAAAATCATAACCATTTCTGTGTGAGTATTTATAAAGATATATATATACAAGCACACAGTCCTTGCTTACTTTGTACTTTTTCAGTGCTTTCATCTTTTTACAAGTGCATTTTCTGGGGTTTATTTTCCCTTAAATTCAGGGAAATAAAAATGTTGTTCATGTAGTAATATTGTTGTAGGCTGTGGTAGCGCCTGTTGTAGAAATGCTTGGAAGAGGGTTAGCCTAATTTTAATTATTTTCCTTTCTTTGTTGAAAGCATAGTCCATGCTGTACTTGGTCATTTTCAAAGCATGAAGTATCTGGGTACAGGAGGGCTAAAAAGTGATACGCAGGCCTTGTTTTTCACATTTCAGTTTTTTATCTTGCCCCAATTAAGTTGCAAAGGTGGTAAAACTGCTTTTACATTCTTATTCCCCATGTTCACAGAATGTGCTGTGTTTGCACCAAAACCTATGAAAACTTATTGAGAGACAAATCTCAGATTTCTTATTACTTCTTTTTTCTCTAATCATGTATGCTACTAATTTTGTTAGAGTTTGAACTCTTTTTCATAACTCTTATTAGTAGAATTTTTTCGCCAAAGTTTGTGTTTAACTCCTGGCTTGGATTTAACTTGATAACAGGAGAAAAATAATTTTTAATTAGAAAAAACCCTTATTTCATATTACTTTTAAATTAATCTAGGCAGTAATTAAAATAATCTAAGAGGCCATTTTTTCTTTGGAATTTACTTAATCAGAATTTTGGTTTTGTAAACAAATGTCTTTCAAGCTTACACAATCTGCAGCAGTTCTTCACTGGTGCTGGTACAGAAGTGTAATGTCTCTCCAGACCTTCCCAAAACCTGGTATGAGAGAGGAGCTGTTCCACTCTTTTATCTCCTCATTGTCCAGAGATGCCATTGTGCAGCTCAGGTGTTCACTTGTGCAGAATAGAAGGTAACATGTCTGCTTGAGCAACAGATTTGAACAGCTGGTGAAAATGGTGCAAATAAAAAGTAGGAGGACAGCAGGAGTCTTGTAGATGTTGAGATGGGAATGATCTGAGAGCATTAAGGCTGTGTGTTGAAAATCCACAGGTCATCTTGATGTGGGCAGTTGTACCCCACATGCCTGTCACCAACTTCTGTAGGTGTAGGATTGCACCTACGTTTTGGTTCTTCCCTCTACACCTTTTCCCAGGGCAAAGGGAAGAATAAAAATTAAAAAATAAAAAATTACACTTCATGTGTTTTATGTAGTGCACAGGAACAGAAGGTCAGAATTACTTACAGTCTAATAGTAAATACTCGAATTTTGGTTGTATATCATCTTTTGATGTAAAGACACTATTTCCTTCAACAGTCAACTGTTGCACACAGCTACTATATATAGTGATTCAGGAATTAGTGGTAATACACTGGTGAAGTGCTTCTGTAGTGATGTAACTCACTCCTGCCAAACAAAAACAAGGAGTTCATGTGATAAGTTGCATTACATCTAAAACTCCAAGCTAAGGGCATTTCTTCAGATTGCATTTCTCTGCTTCTTGCTAGAGATAAGACTTTGAATGTGGTAACACTGGTGGTTGCTAAGAGTGCTGGTACTCATTTAACTTGTTTTGGGGCAGAGCACATTGGTTTGAGGTTTATTTTAGACCTGTGGCATGTATAGTAATCCTTTTTGTGTTTGTGTATGCCTTGAATGAAAGTTTGCACTTTTGTACTCCCATGAAGTAATTGTCTTAAATTGTCACCTTACTAAGACAACTAATGCACAATGTGTTAAACTTCTGCTAAAGTGCTATTTACAGTTGCATACAAACTGTATGGTTTTGTTGATTGGTCCATTATAATTTTATGCAACAATGTGTGTAGAGTCCTCAATTATAATAAATATAGCCTGTTGGTAACCATGAAATATTCCTATCTTGAATGATTTTTTAAAGTAATAAAAAAGCACTGGGGGAGAGAACAGGTTTGTGTGCTGGAGTTACAAAGCAGACACAATGCTATTGTTACCTGATTTAGTATTTCCCCAAAATGTTAAACATTTCCAGATATTAACAGCATTGAAATGGCATAGAAATTTATGACAAAAAAATTAGTTAACTGTGTACATAAGATATTTATGCATCTGGGAGAGTGTGCTGTTAATGCATAGCCTTCTATTAAAATTCATGACACACTATTCTCAGGGTAAAAATTCTAACAGAAAAGATTAATATATCTTGAAGGCTTTCACATACCAAAAATCGTTATGGTATGTTTCAATGCAGGATAGTGATTTTGATAAAAGTAACTGCTGACATAAAAGGTTTTTGAAACTGGCTAGGCGTTTCCAGGATGAGAGTCAAAGGGCGTTCTTCACTGTTCCACTTCAGTGCTGTATCATGGCACTCATATTCTGTAGTGTACTATGTCCATGACACATTTGGGTTTTTCTCTTAGATACAGTCTTTGCACCTCTAAAGGTTCCTTTTGCTGTTAGGTGAAGATTCTGAACAAATAGAAGGTGAAGTAATGAATTCTGGAAAAATGTGAGAGGTTGTTGATACAATTTCATATTCATGATTCTAGAGAGAGAGAGAGAATTCCGTCATACAGTCAGGAGCCTGGAAAGTCTTTCTGTTGGGAGTTCTTACAGAACTTGTGAAAAACCACTTGCTTGCTCAGCCAGGTTGGTACTCCTGGTCAAGCAAGTTTTATAGCTCTTTTTGGATGGCTCAGGAAGAAGAATTTGTTTAGGAAAAATTGAGCAGCTCAATATGCAAGTCAACTGGACATGAGGTGATGGAACAAAATTAATAGGCGCTACAAAATAAAAATTATTCATGCAAAAGAAACTTTTTTTTTTTTTTAACTAAATTCCTATATGCTATATGTTGCTTCAGTTGGTTTTGTTGAGGATTTTTGGTTGGTTTTTGGTTTGGGGTTTTGGTTTGGTTTTTTTTTTTTATAATTGTAATTATTATTACCCCTGTTTCTTTAAATCAGCACCTTCACTGGTGGAAAAAAACTCCACCTATACCACTATTATGCTTAACACTGGCTGCCTGACTGTTCATGACCCCAAATTTTTATGATGCTAAAATTTTTCAGTTTCTTCTTACAGAAGAATTCCGTAGTTGTCTGATGTGTCAGAGTGTCCACCTCTGTCTTCAACCCAAAGTAACCCTTAAAAGAGAGCTTAAATTTTAAAATAAAAGCATACTTTCAAATTACTTTTTCTCATGATCCATACACCTTTTTGTCTGTGAAGTAATCTGCCAGACAATGAGCAGTTTGGGCTGCTGTGCACGCTAGTGCCACTTTTAACACCTAAGAGATGTCCTGCTTCAGTATGATGAGGAAAATGTACATACTTAGTGCAATTCTGCATGCATTTGGGCTTGAACAGCATTTGAATCGCAAAATTTGTATGCAATGTCCAGCATTTTTCTTGAAAGAGAGGTATAGCAAGGGGAAGTTAACCACTCGGTTTTAGCAGGGTCTTTACTCTCACCCTTTATGCTCCCTTTCAGTGGGCTGTGCTTCAGCCTGTCCGTTCCTCAGCCAGCAGCTGTGCACCCCAAGCTCCTCACACGAGAGCCCAGGGGTCCCAGACCCTGTCTTTCTAGGGACGGGATGGAATTCCAAGGGCTAGTTCATGGCAACAGATGCTTACTGACACTGGGTGGCAGCAGTCCACACGTTTCAAAACGCGAATCGCCTCTTTCCTCATGTCCGTGTTCCAAGTTTCCTATTGGGTTTCCCAAATACCAGAGTACTTCTGCCTATGCAGGTGGAAAGCATTGCCCAGCTCTGCTGTTTGTCTTTCTTGCATTCTGTTCTGTGCTTTATATCTGTTCCTGACTCCTGGAAAATTATCACAGAAATCCAAATTGCCAAACCACTTCCAAGATGGAAAGAAAGCAGAGGAGCTTTCTGACCAGCTTTAACTTTTGAAGCATTGGGTTTTTTCACCATTCATCCTCATTTTCACAACTTCCTACTAAGAGATAGGTTGGCATTTGGCTGACTTTGGTTTCTGGTCATAAACTCAGCAGAGATATACACACTGTTACAGCTTCCTAAATCTCTCTTCTTCTTAGTGATCTGTTTTATACATGTACCATAAACACAGTGTTCCAGATAAACTACATTTTTAAACTACTTTTGGGCAATTTTATTAACTAAGGTATAATGCAGAAAAGTAGAAATTTTTTTTTTCATGGAGCAGTTGACATCTGCAGTCTATTACAAATATTTTAAAGTATGCATATTAAGTATGAGTTCAAAGGAAATTACTCATCATTATTGTGGACTGTTTGGGAACATGGTTCTCTGTCTCTTTTGTGGTTTATTTTCATACTCAGCCTGTGATTGTTTTTTATACTCTATTTAGATTTTTTGGGGTTATTTTCCAAAGATGATTTGTTTGCATTGTATGATATCAATTGCTACCAAACTGCAACTTTTGGCAAAACTTCTAGTCTTCAAGAAATTTAAGCAACAACAGAAAAATTCAGAGTCATCCAAGTAATATATTTTTACAGTCCTGCATCATCAATGTAAAGATTTTCCAATAAGCTTTTCAAGAATTGTTGTCATCCCTCACAAATACTAAAAATCAGCAGCAAGGTGCTCATGTTTTCTGAGCAAGTACATGTCTCTCTTCTATGCTATGCTCTTAGCAGAAAGATCTAACAATTGGGATGCTACATCATGTAACAAACACAGCTTGCTTTCTAATGAACCTATTATTAGCAACTGTTCACAAATAGATGCTGAAGAGAAAAATGCTGAATCAATAAGAGCGGGAATAAGAATCCCACACAGTTCCATATTTGAAGATGTCAATCAGTTCTCTAAACCAAAGTGAAAAGTATCTATTGCTGGAGGACACAGAGGGGTTGGTCTGTGAGCCATTGCAAAAACTTATACTTCCTTATGTGTTATTGCCAGTTTCTTTAATCCCAGACAAGTATTTCAGTGGGAGAGAGGGGAAAGAAATGTAGAACAAAATAAAACACTTTAAGAACGAGAAAAGGCTCCAGTCAACATTCAAGACTTCATCCATGTCTACATTACACAATTCTGATGGTGAGCAGTCTGTACTGATAATTATTTATGGATGTTTCCGAGTACTACAAATCAAATTATTCAGGAACCAGAGAATGAAAATTAAAAGAAGGAAAAGTCTGAATTCCAAGAGCCAGCTAGTGGATATAGGAATTTCAGATATTAGACTCTGAAACAATTTGTAAGTAATAGAAGCATGAATATCTGGGATATGAAAAAAGATATTTGTGAAAGCAGAAGTAGGCAAACAATCTGCTACATTTATTTACACAAAACAAGATTTTTTCCCCAAAATCATGGCAAATGTTAAAAACCTATACAAGCCCTACAGGCATTTGGGAGCACTTTCAGATCCATGTGCATAGAGGTAGTAGATTCCTACAAAAAAAGCTTGTTACAAGCTTGTTAGTTGCTCCTGATGTTGAATGTTGTGGTGTGTTTTTGGATTTTTAACTGTTTAAACTGTAATATGTTAGATTTTCCTATTTTATGAAATGGTTTGTTCCACACTCCCCTGTTCAGTTTCAAAAATAGTTCTTCCCAGAGTTGCTTACCCCATATTTTCCCACCCTTCCTTACCTCGATCCTCATGCCAATCCTCTTTACCCCTCCCATACTTGTAAATCCTCCCTTGTCAATTGTCTAAACCCAACCCCTGCAGCTTGTCAATTAGGGTTTTGATGTACCCCTTTTACCAGAAAGTTCTGTGTCAGTAATGCTGTTTCCTCTCACCCATTTGTCTATTATGTATTCACCCCTCCTTCTTTCTTCCTCATTGGTGTTGTGTTGATGTAAGCCCACCCTGTGTTCGTCCTTGCTAATCTCTAATTGTTTGTAGGCAGTCTCCTCCCAGGAGACTGCCCCCCTTTATAAACCCTTGTAATCCGGTTCTCGGGGCTCTCTTCGGTGTGTGCTCCCTACGAGATTGTTTCATTGTATCATCCTGCCACTTCTCCCTCGGGGAAGGAATAAACGTCTTGGAACTTTGCCACCAGAGAGTCCCTCTCTCCCTTTGTGTCACTCAGCGTCCACGAGGAACCTGTCCGGGTGCCCACCTTCGGCCAGGCCAAGTGGAAGGAGAGGTTCCAGCCGAAAGGCTGAACCGCTACGCTCGGCCCCAGCGCAGGAGCTCAAGGCCGGGAGCGGCCGCGCGGTGACATCGCTTGGGGGAAAAGGGCCGAGCAGCTAGCCGGTCACACGGCTCGCCCTTCCTCCTGGGATCCAGGCCGCGGCGTCAGTTGAATTCAGTAGGAAACTTGTCTTGGATTTTGGTGAGATCTGGAGTAACCTACACAATTTCTTCCTCTTAAAATCATGACACATTACACGTAGTCTGAAATGTATTAATGGGCTGTTTTTTATGAACCTGCTATAGCTAATAGCTTGCATATACTGTGACCATTTTGTGCAAAGAGGTTACCATACCAGTGCATCTTCAGTTCTGCTTGAACAACAAAGGGAGAATCTGAGCCAAAGCAATACTTTCCATATATCTTCCCTCCTCTTCACCTTCATTACTACAAATTACTTCAGGGTCGCACATGAATTTTTCATCCATTATCCTCTTTCTGTGTGTGTATGCATGTGTGCATGCATGTCTAAGCAAAACACCATGGCTCTGAGTGGCCTTCCTGCATAGCTTGGGAAAAACAAAACTAATTGTTTTAGCTCTTGGCTTCTCAGATATAGCATCAAATCTTCAAGGAATTATTTGGTGGAGGCTGTATATTTTCCACTGCTGCATTTGGGTAGGTGAGTCATCACCTGAAGACTGCCATAGCATCCAGCATCCACTTCCTTACATCTCTTAAGGAGCTGACAACTGTTCATGCAGCTGGTTTCAGTTGGTTCTCACAC